TGCTGGAAAACGTGCATTTAAAATAGTTTATCTGATCCTGCCATGTCTTTTGCTTTGTTATTTTGAGTTAAATAGATGGTTTTGAATCATTATCATGGGAGGCTAATTAAATAGGTGATAAATAGAACTTGGGGATTTCATGCATGAAGCTTCCCCAACATTAACTAATTGAGTCTGGCAAGAGTATCACCTTCATCTTACGGATGCAAACTCGCTGAAGGGAAGCATGCTTGTGCATGCATGTGTGTCCATCAGAGCTGTGCTGCTATGGTTTTGGAGATGTTCCCCAGAGTCCCAGCAAGGAGGAATCCAAGGGGAGGCTGCAAGATTTGTTCAGTTTTGAATCTCCTTAGCGAGATTCAAGTTCCCTGTACTAGAAACAAATCATCTAGAGACACTGATGACAAGGGTCTTAGGAGGAAGGCCTTACCCCACCCTATTGCATAAGAGCTGGCATTTTCTTTGGAAACTGTGACTCAGGTTTGCACTGCAGGGACGCCTGGGCTTTTGCTGGCCAGCCACAGCGCCACCTGCTGGTCCTTAGCGCTGCTGACCCCAGGCTAAAAAGCCAACATTTTTCTCTGGTCTCTTCAGTATTTTTCACTTGCTGGCCCCAGCTGGGAACCCTCACTTCTCCAGAAGAACCACAGCTGATAGTGTGTGTGCACAAATCTGTTAGAGGGCTATTTCCACAAATATCTCATCCTATCCCCCCAACACACCCGGATTAAAATGAGGACTAATGAAATTTAAGCCTTGACTGATTGGCTGAGGGAGTGATAGGTCCACACCAGAATAAGCAGAGTCATTTCTATCTCAAAAGGCCTGGGTAGCTCTCTTCCTTGGGGAGAGAGGTATGTATCTGGAGGCTGCTTGCACAAACAGGCATTCAAGGCTCTTTCTTAGAGCCAGTGCTTTCTGGGGGTGGTTGAAGAAAAGAAGGGCTAGTAGAGATCTCAGGACAGGCACAGCCTCAGTGTTTATTATTATTGTTGTTGTTTCTGTGACAAAATTCCCGAGACAACAAGGTGGGAAAGAGTCACTCTGGCACATGCTTTCAGAGGTCCATAATCACGTGGCCCCATGGCTTGTGTGCCCATGGGTGGTGAGGAGGAATATCACGATAGAAAAGCATGGCTGAGGGAAACTGCTCACCCCACCCCACAGCAGCCAGGAAGCAGAAAGAGGGGAGAAGCGACAGGCAGGAACAAGACATCGAAAGTTTACTCCTTGTGACCCATTTTCTCCAATCAGACCCCACCTCCTAATGGCCTATTCAGTGAGAATGCCATGTTTTAACACGTTGATGATCCAATTACACTCAAGAGTGCTACTAGCTGGGGACAGCCTCAATGTATGAGCCTCTTTGGGAGATACTTCATATTTAAGCTGTAGCAGGGCTATGGGTTGGATGCCTTTTCAACCTTGTACTTCCTCCTAAGAACAGAGAGAGTTCTCTCGAATGGAAGAACTGAATTCCAATCCCCGCTGACAATTTCCAGCCAGGTCTGGGCAACAGGACTCAGCTCATCATGCTGTCCTTCTGCCCACTGAGAAGTCAAACAAGTGTCACTGGCAATGGATACTCTAAATGGCCCCTCTACAAGAAGGCAAGAACCCTTCTGCAGCTGGATGTCAGCTGAGTGCAGCATGCTCAGGGAATAGGTCTCAGGGAAGATTGATTCTGCGGCAGTTGGATGTCTGCAGTCCTGTAGAAGGGTCCCCCTGCCTCCCTCCACCTCACACATGGCAGGGCATCCTCTAGCAGAGCCAAGCTGTGACAGTGTCAGTGAAGTGCAGGGACAGTCCTGCAGGTGAGGCCAGTGGCAGACATCTGTGGAGAAACACACACAATGCCAGGTCACCAGCTGAGTTCCTACCAGCCAACTACTGCAAATTTCCTGCTGATGGAGTCCAGCGCCCAGCCTGAGTTCTTGGGAAAGTTGAATATGTGGGATGCTGAAGCATTAGTGGGCTCTTCACCTTCTCTTGTGACTAAATGGTCCAGTTTAAGTGGGCAAAGTATTTCCAAGATTATGTCCTCCTTACATTACTCAACAGCTACTGCATGCCAGTGCAGGTAAGGGTGGTTGCCATATGTGGTTTCACATCTGTATGTAGTGCAGGGACTAGTTTTTATGACCTTGTTGTAGATGTGAGTGACACAGAGGAGCAGAGGTGAATACTAGGATGACTACTCAGATGACAAAGCTGGATTTACTAATTCCATGACATTTAGTAGCATAATTGCAGATCATACAAGCCAGTCTACTACAGTCCACAAGAGACTTCCAGAAGCCTGTGATATCCAGTTTCAAGAATGCTTTATGCAACTCTGATGAGACTATGAGGGAATATCAAGGCTAGGGTGTGTTGGACACTGCCTTCCATGACTTGATATTGCATCCATTTTGGGTCCCCCAAATCAGGGTCTTACTATGTATCTTAGGTTGGCCTTGAACTCAAGATCATCCTGGCTCTGCTTCCTACACCACCAAATCTGGCTTTGGAAATTCCTTTTTAATCCTAGCAGTGTGCAGCTCAGGAGAACACCTTGGTTGATTATTAGATGTGAGGATGCTGGTCAGTTAGCCCTTCTTCTCAGTCATCCCCCAACAATGAGGCCGTGAGGTGAGTGGTGGCTCTTTCGAAGTCCAACAGGCACAGCACATCCATGGTGTGGTTATAGGAATACAGTGTTTCCAGTGATTTCCATCTCATTCTGACCTAATCCTCAGGCATATCTGAGACATGTAGTGTGACTGGCTGATAGCCAGCCTCTGATGGAGCAAGGATAAGCATGTGTGAAGCTGTGTGTTTACTTTTTACAAGTAGGAGGTTGGTATGGGGAGATGCCTCAGCCAGTAAGATGAGGCATCAGATCCCCAGCACCCATGTAAAAATAAGTGTTAAGAAGCACATGCCTGTGACCCCAGATCTGGGGAAGCAGACAAGAGGATCCCCAGAATTCACTAGCCTGCTAACCTGGTCTCCTTGGTGAACTCCTAAGCTGAGGGAGAGAACCAGTCTCAAAAATAAAGTGGAGAGTGACTGAGGAAGACACCTGATAGCCACCTCTCGCATATGCACGCGCACACGCACACACACACACACACACACACACGTAAAAGTAGGGTTTCTTTGGGTCAAATAGCAAAAAAAAAAAAAAAAAAAAAAAAAAAAAAGGCCCTCGGTATCCCCATTTCAAGCACAGGTCAAACAGATTCTGACACTTGGTTGAGCTCAGTGTGTACAAGTGCCTTAGGAGTTGTTATTCCCTAGATGATACAGGGCAATAGCTACTTACACAGCTCTTTCGTATCAGCCTTTGGTATCATAGCCATCTTGAGATGAAATAAAGTCAGTGGCAGCTATGAGAGGATCTGAAAGACACAGAGGCTCTCATTCTGGGAAGAGACAAACTGAGCTGGGATCCAGAGTGGAGCCCATTCAGAGGCCAGCATCAGGTTGACGGTGCATGACGGGGGGACGGTGTTCAATACAAGTGCAGACATAGAGTTTAGAGCCCTTTGGAACGACTTGGCTTTGAGGGATGTGCTGATGACAGAGACCTGTCGTCAGTAACCAGGTGGAGTGATATTAGCCTGGCTGAGCCTAACTTTGGATATGCATGTTTATAAAGGTGCTTTGTGAGCCTGAGCCCTGGATAGAGATGGCCCGGAGGAGAAGCAGTTAAATCAACTACACAAAGGTGAGTTCCTGCTCCTTTTCCAGCAGCAGGGATACTGTTCTTGTGCTCGGTGGACACCAGAATTCCAGGTCTGTGCCCTCTGGTGTCTAGGACTCACATGCAGTTCCCAGGATCTCAGGCCTTAGCCTTGAGCTGAGAGGGACATGCACTGGTTCCCCAAGTTTCTCAGGCTTGAACAGCTAAGTACTAGTTTCCCAGGGGCTCCACGTTGTACCATGGTCACATGGGTCTACTCCCCCAGTTTCCATCCACACATGCATGTATCATCTAGTTACTCTCAACACATAGATAGCGGGTTCTCTCTGGAGAAGCCCGACTGCAGCCCTGTGTCTATGATCCCAGCTGACTTCCTGAGCTGGCTGCAGATGGTGGCAAATCTGTCTATCCCTCTATGACACACTTCAGGTTGCTTTACTGGCTGCAGGAACCGCCCTCCTTTGCTGTTATCTGACCCCCACCCCACCCCACCCCTTTCCATCATGTCTGGGTACATGACGCCATCCTTTCACTTTAACTCTTGTGCTCTCCCATTTCAGCTCCCATCACGACAGCATCAACACCAGAAGGTCCACAGCACTGGACAATTTTCAAAGCCCGTTTCCTTCATTCCTGCCGAAAGCCTCAAGATGCTGGAGAAGGCCAGCGAGTGTGTCCTTTCTTAAGAAAAAGAAGGCAGGGATGTTTGGTGACTGGACAATATCACACAACCACAAAGCTGTGGTTCCAGCAGTACCTTACAGGCCTAGCCCTGGCACAGCCCTGGCACGGCAGAGGGCTCGGACGGTTAAGACAGACACGTGACCTACACTAAGCAGTGGTGAGGGAAAGAGCTGTAATAACTCATAGCCCATCTGTAGAACACACTCACAGTCATGGCTTTGTCATTTTTCAGTTTGTGGCAGCACTGGGCATTGAACCCAGGGCCTCACACATGCTAGGCAAGAACTCCACCATATCTTATATATATTTTAATGCCTTACATATCCATTTATATCTTAAGAAAAGGCACTCAGATCAGATCTTAAAAGTGAGTATAGACGTAACTGTAGAGTTAAGAATGTCTGCAACACTTAGAGCAAATTTATGGGTCAAATGTCTGCTCTGTCTATTTAATCTTACTCTTACACCCTAGTCTAAAATCCTTGCCCTTCGTGAAATCCAGAGTTGGTACCTAATGCATCATATTGGGAGCAGGTTTGGAATTCAATGTAAACTGATCAGTGATTGTGATTACTTTATTTTGGGGTCCTGTGTCACAGAATGGCATGTGTAATGTTCACAATGGGCATGAGAAATTGAGATGTTTTTATTTCTACTGTTTGAAAATAAAACCATAGATAATGTTCCAAACCAGCATCAAAAAAAGCAGAGCAAACTTTTCTGTATATAAACTGTACATAAAACAAGGCACTATACATTTCTGGGGGAGATATTAAGGTAGAAAGGTTGATTCACATAGATTTCTTCAGAGTCCACACTGGGAAGGAAGTTTTTTTCGCTTTAGCACCGGAAGCAGAACTCAACACAAGCCAAACCTAAGGCTGAAGGAGGCACTCCTGAGCATGGGGGAGGGGGAATATAGGGGTTGGGGGTGGGGGATGGGACGGATAACACACCAGACAACAGACTGGTAGCCGGCATAACTCAACAGAAGCGACTCTGTCTACCTTGTAATAATGTTTTGACACCAAAGGAAAAAACTTGAAAGTGAATGAATGCATATTGCTTTGTTAAATACATATTTGATTTATATGGTGTTTATATAAATATATATATATATTTAGAATCCACAAACTATCAAAATAACACTTTATAAAGAGAATTGCTTTAAAAAAGGTAATGCTGAGCTAGAACAGGAGGGCAGGGTTGCAGTGGCTGCTGAGGCAGCACTCGGCTGAGTGAACGGAAGAGATGCATTTCTCAGTTTACCTGAACCATGGAAAAGAACGACTCCTACACATTTACAAAATGCTCAACTCCTGGACAAACTGCAGAGTTAATAAGGTCAGGTTTGGAAAAAGTCTGATTCGAAAATACTTTCTTCTTTGACAGAAAAAAATACCAGTCCAAAAAAAAAAAAATAAAATAAAATAAAATAAATCCGTTTTCTGGTCTAGGGACATCAGAAGTGACCTCTTGGTGGCAACCTGCCATTTCACCCTCAGAATAGCCCCTTTGCTTTCTTCAGGTTCACTTGCTTCCAGGTGGGCAGTGCGTTGAATTCATCTCTGGTCATGTCGAGTGCAAACTGGAGGAAATGAAAGGGATGCCCAGTGAGTGGCTGAAAGAAAGGCTTCTCACACCAATGTGTCATCACCATCCCACCCAGGGGGCCACTCACCTCAAAGTCTTCATCTGTGAGATAAATCTCAAGCTTCAGAGGGTCTACCCCCTCTGGGAGTGGCCTGGCAAGCAGATCTGCCAGTGGATAGATGGTTTTACAGAGCTTGGCTAAGACATCTTCCACCAGGGTGATCTGGTTGGAAACTTCAGTATCCTGGAGAGTGTGCAGAGAACATGTGAGCAGATCATGTTACCTATGGAGAACTTGCAGACCCCACTCTGTCCCATACATGCATAGCCTGGTCAGGAGCATGGTGCCATTCCACTATGGAGAGGAGGCTCTGAATGTCCAGGAATTACCTCCTGACCTTCAGAGCTTTTGTCCTCCTGCCAAGCTCCAAATCAACTCGGTGTCTGAACTGTTTCTGAATGAATGATTGAATGAATGAATGAATGTTTAGGGACCCAGCTTACCTATGAGTGAACAGTGGAGAAAGATTACTGGATCTGAAATCAAAACATTAGATGCTTCCACAAAGTGGAATTTGTATTTTTAAAATAATTAACCTATAAAGAAATCATGCCCTCTCTCCTTCCCACAGGTTCCATTTCCTAATCCACAAAGAGATACTAATGTAAAGGTATAGTTCAGTGGTAGAGTACTGCCTAGAATGCACAAGACCCTGGGTTACGTGCATACACACACATGCACACACACAAAAATGCACACACACACACATGCACACACGGGTGGGTATTTAGGGAAAATCATCTTTATCTCCTATACTTGGTCTGAGAAGCGCTGCCCTCCCTTTGGACAGTTGGATGGTGAATGAATGAGTTCAGGTTACCACCAACTTCGACAATCTATGGTGCAGAATCTTGGGAGAGGTGGGTGCTATGCTTAGCCCACCTGCTTGTACCTATGGACCACTACTCAGTTGGTGACTCAGAGGTTTGAGGTAAGTGTTTTACGCCTCAGCTCTTACACTGGTAAAGTGGGGACAATAGTAAGATGAACACTAATATAGTGTCCTGGTAATTAAATGAGACATCAAATGTAACACGCTTAGTGTTGGGCCTCACCAGAGCAGCACAGGGTGAATCTTAATTACAAGCTGGCTCAACACTATGCAGCACCTCCCATCCCCCAAGCCTGATGAGCTGCAGTGAGTGCAGAAATACAAGGGCACCCCCTGCTTGGGCTTAGACATGAGGCAGCTGCAATACCCATAAGATGGACCTGTGGTAGGAAACAGAGTTTTTTTGGTAGATGCCCAGGAGTGGTATAGCTGGATCATGTAGTATGTCTATTTTATTTTATTTATTTATTTGAGAAACTTCCTACTGATTTCCATCATGTTATATTAATCTTCACTCCTACTAGCAGTGAATAAGGGTACCCCTTCTCCCTTGCCAACATTTGTGGTCAGATTCATTTCTCTCTCTCTCCATCTTTTCTTTCAAGAAGCTAAATAAGGGTTTTATTTATTCACTTAATTTAAAAATGGTTTTAGTTTTTTTCAGACTTTCATACAGTATATTTTGATCGTATTCTTTCTTGATGGTAGCCATTTTTGACTGGGGTTGGGTGGTATCTCAAAGTAGATTTAGTTTTCATCTCTCTGATGACTAAGATGCTGAACACTTTAAAAAATTGGTCATCTTTTAAAAAGTTACTGTCTGTTCATCCAGTAACCCAATTTGTTGATTGATAGTTTTGCTTCTTTAATATTTAATTTTCAAAGTTCTTTGTAAATTCTGGATATCATGCCTGCCCCCTACAAAGGCAGCTTCCTCTTACAAAGTAACAAAATTAAAAAGGAAAATTCCTACTTCCCACTAAACTAAAACAACCCTTGGAATTTCTATCCCTAGCAAAGTTAACTCTTAAATTAAGAAATTCTACACAGTCACACTAAGCCTCTGGATGGGGAACAAATGTATGTTTGCTAGGCAAACAGATGAGGACTGCCTCCTACAATGCTAAGTGATACTATGTAGTTGAGTGAACACCATGGGAGGGTCACAATGTGCAGTTTCCTGAGCACATTCCTGTATTGCAGTCTGTGTCTCTCCTACACGCACTTAACATGGGAGGACTTGGCTATGCATTGCACACACCTTGAGAAGCAGTGGGCTTGGTGCTAATAGAAAGAAGCTATAGCAGCTTTTATTTGTAGCCTTTGCTCATATTTAAAAATCTGAAAATCCTGTAGAAAATGATCAAAGTACTTCAATCGATTTCCTATTAGGGTTTTCCTTCTAAGCCAAGTCTATGCAGCAGAGGTAGCACGTTGCAACAGGAAAAAGTGTGTTCTCACTTTATTTGTAGGGTCTTGGAATATAGAGCAGGCTAGCCCAGAGCTTGCTATAAAACACAGGTTAGCCATAAAGTGCTAGGAGTGTAGGTGTGTGTAATCACACCCCAGAGTCTGTTCCCGCGGTCAGAGTCCAGTCCGAAGCGTCTCCCTCTGATGGTGCTGCCCAGTGCTGAGGGGAGTGGGGGTGGGGAACTCACCATTTCTGTGATCTCAGCGATGTCCTCTCTGTGCTCCCAGCTGGGAAACATGTTGGTGAACGTCAGGGGCTCTAGCCCAGCATGGATAAGGTAAGACTTGGGGGGTGGCCTTTTGAGATTCTTTCCTGTAGGGAGACAGAATGCACATGTCAGGGACCCAAGGAGCCTGTCCCCTCATCCCCTCACCCCCCTTTTCCTCAGGCTCATCCCATTTCCTTTAGAACTCTTGACTTTCACGTTTCAAATGTGGACTGAGAGTCACTCACAATCATGCGTGGGTGCAGCTTTGCCTGAAAGGTGACTCCTAGGCTTATCTCTTTAACACAGATGTGACATCAGCCTGACCCCCCCAGTTCCTGAACCTGACAGTGTTTCTGGATCCCCTAGGGGGACTGAAGGCTGTCCTGGGAACTCCCACCAGACATGTCTGCTTCCCTTTCATTTGCCTGTAAAGGTTTTCCCTGAAGCAGGACAAGCTTCAATAGCGCATGACAGCCAATGGCAGCATCTTCCAGGCGCAGGTGAGCATTTGGTGGTCTGTGAAAGGCTGTTCACAAAGGGCTTTCTGTGGAAGGAGTCGACTGCACACACTCAAGTGTGTTAAGCGAGCCAGTAAACTGTCGACATGCAGACAGGACATTGATTATTGGCCTCCTTTACATAAAAGGCCACTGATTTCATGTGGATGCTAGCTGAGAAACCAGGGATTTACTATGGATTTTTTCCCCTTTGTTCTGTGTTTATCATTGGAAACAATACCAAAAGAAAGGCTGTCATTGGCTTTTAACTGGTTTGAGCACATTCCTGTTCTCTAATGCAGGTGCTACCTGAAGAGAAAGGTAAGCTGTGAAGGCCACTCAGCTACTCACATCTACATACAGAGGGGGTGTCAATGCAGGCACCCCATGATACACCATGTGGGCAGCCTCATCTTGTGAAAGAGAAATATGGACTCTCCTTTGTTCTGGTAGCAGAGAGTGCATTGACCTTAATATTGACAAACTTCTATTGGTTAAAAGGGAGAGAGGTGGAGCCTTCTCAAGGCTGGGGGCATCTCAGAAGGGACATAGCTGGGCTTGTGATGGCTCTCCACCCCCTCCCTCTTGCCCTCACCTCGGCAATACTGCAGGACGGTCTCCATGGCGCTCTTCCGGTCTGAGGCCCAGCGAATGCGGGCAGAGCCAGTTATCTTGTTCTCAGTGGGCCACCAGCCTTGCCAGAGGTACACCTCATGGTGATTGTCAACAAGGAAGAGTGCTGGGAGGAAGGGCAGAACCAGACCATGAGGTATACTCCTTCACAGACCTTCTGGTACACACTGTCCCAGGAGGAGCCGTGCTGCTCTACCAGCTGCCCCACACCCCTCTCCCCGAAGTTCAGAGTGACGAGTCCACGGAGGTTCCTGTACACTCTGTCCTCCAACTCTGAAGGAGCCTAGCAGGACAAGGAGGTGACCCAAGAAAGGTCTCTTTGTGTCCTTCCTTCCCCAGCTCAACCACAGATTGCGGGTAGTGCTTTCAGATGTTGCGAGGGCTTTGCCCTTAGCTACTTCTGTTCTCTAATGAGCTCACATCCCACTTGCCCTCAACTCCCATGATGCTCTGAGCAGTGATGGTTCTTTTACAGGGAAGTGAATTTTAGACAGAATCTGCCTGCCTCTCCCTTCTTGTCTTCAAGCCTCTACCCGATTCTAACTCTATGTGGCAAGTGCCCTCCAACTACGGCACCAAAGTCCCTCCTGATGTACATTTTGTGATTGCTTTGAAAGCCAGTAGGTGTTGATGATCCATCCAGACCCCAGGAATACAAGGGCAGGAAGTAGCTTTCTCTTTTAGATATTCATGGCTGCTGCCTATAATATGACATATGTGTCTGCCAAGCTCTGAGCTACTGTAAAAAAGAGTCCCTGGGCTGCAGCTCCAGGCTATGGGCAAACTGTGAGCTCAGGGGTTGATTGGCAGGAAGTGGGAGGGTCTATAGAGCCCATTTCCTTTGTATAGGTGTGGGCATTAGGGCATGGGGGGAACTGGGAGATCCAGTCTGCAGTCTTGATTCTGCTGAGGGCTTTCCCATGTCCTTTTCCTTAGCCACTTGCTTTCCCAGACTCCTTGGAAGCTAGAGTGGCCACATGATATCCTCTGGCCAAGGGGATGGGATGAAGCAGAAATATTGGAGCTGGAGGGACATAATGAACTGCCCCTTTCCTGTTCCCCAGTTTCAAATACAAACATGAATGCTGGAACAAGGGAGCTCACAAGGAACCATGAAGCAGAAAGTTGAAGAGGAAGGCTGGGAGAATCGCGGGGATGACATGTGGTACTGTCAACTGGCTCTTTGAATGCAGGAAGTAACCTTAGCCCTAACCCTAACCTTAACCTTAACCCTGACCCTAAACTTAACCCATATACAATACTAAGTGGCTGACTTTATTTTCTTTTGCGGTGGGTGGATAAAAGGAGGTGTAGCAAGAAGGCTAGCACTGTACTTGACAGATAGGAACTGCTTAAAAGGAAAGGGAAAGAAAGGCTTCAAGGAGGGCACTTCACAAGCCACCATGCCCCCTGCAGGCCTCACCTGGCTGGGGCGCGCTGTATAGATCCTCTTGCAGGAAAGGCATGGAGCTGACGGCAGAGGGCGCTCGCGCAGGGTACACGAACTCTGTCGCCGAGAAGTCTCCAGAGGAGCTGCTGAGGATGAACAGGCGGGGCGCGAAGTTAAAACTCCCAGGATCTTCCAAAGAAAAGAGAACACAGCTAAGGACACCATATGAACCAGCTTCCAGGTGGACTGAAGGCATAACATGAAACAGCTCAAAGTACTGGTGGAAAATAAGCAGGATTTGGTTTCTATTGGCTTTCTGATTTTTTGTGGTCCCCCGACCCCCCTTCCTTTCGTTAATTTCTATTAGGAAAGAAAGTTGGCCCGATGTCTTGGAGGACACTGATTGATACAGGAGTCACCTGTCAATTTTCTTTAAGGATAAATTTAAATAATTATTTTAGGTGTATGCCAACTACACTACACTATTGTACAATAAAGAAAATATTGGACGTTACTCCCTAGATATGGAGGATTGCTAAGTAGAATGGAATGTATTACAATGCCCTAGCATCACTGAGGTCTCAGTGGCAGCAAGGTGGACACTGAGACAATAAAGGGAGAGGGTGGTTTACAGTCATCCAGATTGTCTCTTTATTGAGGAATGCATAGGAAGTACAGGAACACATGACTTCTGGTTATCTGTGACACGCGAGTTGCTGAACACTGGCTGCTCAGCAGAGATGATTAATAGAAGGAAGTTTGTTTTATAATTTGTATATTATAATAATGTATACTTTAGGGAAATTCGGGAAGGCATGTGTTCACACCCCTTAACTTCACTCTGGTGAACAGGGACAGCTATTCTGAAGTCAATGCATGAAACACAGGAATCTTGTATTTAGATTTGGGTCACATCCCAAACATATCACAAACTTACAAAGGTCAGAAAATCTTCCATCTTCTGGACTGGGTTTTCTCCCACCTTGCACTCACACACTCTGCCAGCCACTCTGACCTCTAGTGCACTCCAAGTCTCCCCGTATTTGCCGCCTTCTCCCCTCTTGATCTCTGACAGCCCACTGCTCTAGCCCTGTGTCTTGTGTGTTCTCTCTTTGCCTACTGCCTTGGAAATGACAAGAAATGCTTATGAACTAGTTCCTAGGCCAGGCACATCAAATCCCTAAATCATGACTACATTGTACACACATATTTTACGCTGTCCCTTACAAGGGCTGTGTCCCTAAAAGGCTAAAATCTACTGAATGAAGGACGTGGACCCCACAACTCTTCCTCCTTCTGCCTGTCTCCTTTGGGCAGACTTAAGGTCATGGCATTCAACGATGGCCTCTCCTAGCCATCCTTGAATTTCAGGTTCCAAGTTCATAAGCTTCTGGTAATCATCACATGCTCATGTCTCATAAAACATCTCCCAGTAGGCATTGGGCATCACCATTGCCTGTGAAGCAATGACTGCTGAGAACTCACTGTCTCTATATGGCCTAAGGCTTGCTGGTCAAGACTCTCCTGATCTGGTGGAGACGATTGTCTCATTGGGTTCTCACTGCTTGCTTCAGCATGGGTTCAGGCCAAACCCAACAGCTTGTCTTGTTACTGTGCATCTAGCTCCTCAGCCTTTCCTTCTCTTCTGGTTGGGTCATACCAGCCTCGGAGGCACTGTGCAAACACCATCTTCCCATGGGGCTGTGTACCACTTTCCCTGGTGGGAAAAATCCTGTGTCTTTCTCATGCTCACACTCTTTTAAGACACATAACTTTGTTTGCATGAAAATGAGTCACATACAATGTGTGGCTTAGCTTTCTTTATGAGTGTTGTTCACAGCATATTCACAGTAGATTTTTATAGATGTGTGTGTGGTGTACATGTATATGTGAATGCATGTATGTGGAATCTAAGCACTATCGTGTCTCATCCCGAGGAAAGACATCCACTGCTTTTGAGACAAGGCCTGTCCTTGGCTGAGAGCTCATCAATTATGCTGGCTATCAAGGCCCAGGGCCCTTCTGTTTTTCTCCCCTAGCTGTAGGATTTTAAGGGCACACCACTGTATCCTACAATTTTACATGTGTTTTGGTGATAAAACTTGGGTCTTTATGCTTGTTGGGCAAGTGCTTTGCTGGTGGAGCCATCCCTCTAGACCTTAATAAGTCTCTAGTGAGAAAAATCAGTGAGTGAATTGAGGAAAAGAAAGATGCTGTGGATGCTACGGACCGTGCCATTACCTTGAAGCATGCAGTCATATGCCTTTCTGTCCCTCCTTCCCAAAGCGTCCCAGAATCCCAGGGGCTCGGATCCTTCGTCACACTCATGTATTGTCACATTGCTGCTGCTGTGCAATCCTGCTTCCAGGGGACATCTGTATGGGAGACATGCCGGGAGGCTCATATAGGTCTGGGAAGTGCCCGCTGTACGAAATTACCCAAGATCAAATCCACACATCTCTTTGCTCATTCTAACTAAGAGCAATTCTCACTGATAAATGAAAAAAAAAATTCTATAAAAATTCCATCAGTGTCTGTGCCGGAAGAAGTTTGCTCTGGGAAGAATGTACAGATATACATAATATGTCATGATGACAATGCAAATGTTTATATCTAACACAACATTTTTCTGTTTATTGTCCTCTTCTGCTAGAACACAAACTTCATTAAGAGAAAGAGGAGTTTATTCACTGCCGACTGCCTGGTGCCTTGTTTAGCACCAAGTAAGTGCTCAGTAAGCATTTGCCAAATGAATAAGTGAACAAATTTGTCATCATTTTGCATTGTTCTTAGTGGTCCCAGTGAAAAGCCTCTTGGGGTGTGGATGCTATCGGACCCCTCATGCAACATCTTCCAACTCCCCCACTTCCACTAGCCATGGAAGGATGTTCTGAGAGTCCAGTTTCGCCTGTCTGTCTGCTAGAAGGTTGTCTTCCTTTTCTCTGCCCTTACTTCCTAGCACTGACCTTCAGAGAAGCCTGGAGGAAGGCAAACAGGTCTCATTGTCCATGTCAGTGCCCACAGAACGGGCTGTCAGCATGTGGTGGAACACTCCAGTTTTAGGAAAGAACCCAATTGTTCTCAAGGAATTGAGACTGCCCAGGATGTCAGTTAGAGCAGAGACACAGTGACCGGTCTCCTCTGGCTATGGTGATCCTCCTGAGGACATTAACCATCAAGAAACCCCCAGAAGAGAACCCCAGCAGTGCTATGCCCCAGGGCTGCTGGCCTGGGGGTCTGAGACCTCACTGCCAGCTGCTGCCGCACAGCTGGAGCCCCCTGCTTTCTAAAGAAGGGCCATGTTATAGCCCCCCCTCCCCAATTCTTCTTTAGCTTTGCCAAGTCTGCTATTCCAGTAAAGCACATACTCAGACCCCTGCAAGGCACCAGCAGAGGCTGCAAGCTGAATGTTCCAGAGGGAGTGGCACCTATGGGAAGAAGTCTTAAGTGTGACTGTGCTTGCTGGGGACATCTGCCTTGCTGTCTTTTGTTTGTTTGTTTCCGATGATATCTCACTATATAACCCAGGCTGGCCCTAAAGTCTTGGGCTAGCCTGCCTCTCCTACCCCAGCCTTCAAGGAACACAGTACGTGGCTCATGGTTGCCTTTTATGGAAGTAGGCATGTCCTTAGAAAGCAGGAGAAGCCTGCAGATTGGGGGGTTTCTGTGGAGATGTGTGTCCCTGGACTTATGTCAGATCCCTGGCTGTAGTTCCAAAGATTCCTTGCTGGAGTCACTTTAAGCACATGGGACATCCCTTATGTCCCTTATGCCTTAGCCTGCCTGCATCTCTCCAGGAGTCCCCTCAGTGCAGAGCCGGTCAGATGACAATACTCACTGTTCCTTGATTTTGTTCGCAGCGGTTCTTCCAACCTCCTTCGTGTGGCCCTGAGCTTTGCATCCATGCCACAAGTAAATGAGGGCCTTGTTTATGTTCAGAACTACCATGGAAGTCCTGGACCTCAGGCTGCTGCAATGACAGGCCACCTCCAGCAAGTTCCCTTCCATGGGCACCTCTCCTCGAACACAATACAGCCTCCATTCACCTGCAGGGGGCAGCAGTGGCATGGGGTTATGAGGAGCTGGTGCTGGAAGAGTGGCCCTTCAGGCTCCCTGTGTGCTGTCAAAGACATGCATTGTAGAGACTGCAGGACCTGTGGCTGAGGACATGCCAAGCAAGGACAGCTGCAGGTCTTCCAGAATTAGATAGGTTGCCCAAAGTTCACAAAGCAGAAAAACAAATCCAAGATTTACATAAAATGCTAAAACTCTAAAGATGGAAATATTAAGGATTTAGTGGTAGGGTGCTGGCCAATGAAAAGATTACAAGAGAAAATCTACTGGTTTTTAATCTCCATTAAAAGTAGGGATGGTTACTGAGAATGAAGTTCAAGACAACTCTTCCTAGCCTCCTGCGCAAAAATGCAGATGGAAGGAAAGTTCTATGCAGAGTAGCATCCCCACAATGCAGTACTAGGCCAGGGTTAGGCATCTTTCAGTGGGAAAGACACAGCTGTATGAGGTCAGACTTACTTTAAGATTTTAATTTTAAAAAAAAAGAACAAACCGTTGTGTTTTTGTGTGTGTACATGCACACACGCATGAGTGCAGTGCTCATGAATGCCAGAAGGGGGCATCAGATCACCGATCACCCTGGAACTAAAGTTATGAGTGGTTGTGAACTGCCTGATTACTGTGGGTATTGGGAAGTGAATGTGGGTCCTTGGCAAGAGTACTGTGCATTCTTAACCACTGAGCCATCTCTCCAGCCCCTAGACTTCCCTTAAAGCCATCCTATCAAAATACCTTCAGGGAGAAAGACAAAAACTGAATTCTAACATTGAAAGTGACTTACTTTGCACATTTTCTTCTTCCTCTTCCCTTCGTCCAGAGTGCACCACCATACCTCCCTGGAAACACTGAAGGAAACAGGGAGGCTCCTTTCCCTGCAGGACCTGGACCTTCAAATTCAAACATGGGAAAATAGGTCAGAGGAAGAGGCCATTAGGGTTGTGGAAACAACAATTTTCTCTTTCAGGGAGTCTGGACAACACTATCAGGACACACAGAAGTCAACATCCCCATGGCCATCTGAAGGCAGGCAGTATTAAAAGTGTACTACATAGCCTTTCTTTCAAATTATTTTCAAGTATGGTGTTTTCCTGTAATATGAAAACAGGAATGCTATTCCCTGCTGCCTATATACTTTCTTTCATCCCTCACTGTTTTTTCTGTCATGGACTATTCTTTACAGATATGATCACTGGCATTTTCATGGTACTTTTATGTAGGGCTGATTTAAATGTTTTTGACAAGGTCTACCTCTCAGTAATGAGGAGGGTGAGTTTCTGCCCTAGTGAGTCTGGAGGATGCCCCTCCTGTAGTACTGGTCATAGTTCAGGTCTTAAAAGCCCCTCAGGGCCACGTCTTCAAGGTTCAGCTCCCCAGGACATACACTGGGAGGCTGAGGTACCTAAAAGGTAGGCGAGGTCTAGTGCCAAGTCGTTAGGTCACTGGGGGTATACAATTGAAGGGGGTTTTGGGACCCTGGCTCCTTCCCCTTCATCGCTTTTACTTTTAAAAATGAGCCATGTGGTTTCACGCTAACCTATGTTTCTGCCCTGCCATGGTGCCTCCTCACAAGCCCCGAAAACAGCATGGCCAACCAACTGTGGCACTGAAATAAAGGAAACATGTATCTTTTGAAGTTAAATACCTGGGGAGTTTACCATAATGATGGGAAGTTCACAATGTATCCTAGTGGTCTCTTCTGGGGTGACCTGGCCCTCCCTGACTTCTCTGGTCCTATCAGGACATGGTAGCACACCACTTGCTGTCACTTGGGCAGACTCTGTCACTTACAGGAGAAGAGTTCTTTGAGCCCGGGAATCCTGGGCATCCGGATACCCAGAAAGGTAGATGCATTTTGCACCATAAGTTGCCTCACCAAGCTCAGGTCTGCTCAGCACAGGCAAGGGCCACTTTGTGGCAGCAGTTCACTTGCCTGTGATGATTTTCTATGTGTCGGATTGGAAAGTGAAATGCTCAGACTCTAGGTGTGCACTGAACACAGGGTTAAAACATAATCCTTTAGAAAACGGGCTGCTGAAACCACCTACTGTTCAGAATAAGTCACAATGGCATTGTCGCTGAGGTCCCACTTCTGAAATATGATCTTTAGTGGGAAATATTCATTCTGCCTTAAAATTATTTTTAGGGAATGTAATTAGTTCCGAGAACTGCAGAAAGCTGACTGAGCATGGCTCTATTTCTAGAGAAAATTTCTCTTTTCTCATTCTTCATGCTCTTGCCAATTGATCATTCATCCAAGATGGCAAAAATGGCCTATAGTGTCACGCTTTCCCCAAACTCCAGAGCCAGCTCTCAAGTAGTGGCATTAATGGATGCAACACAGTGCACAGATCATTCAAACTTTAAAAAGACATGTTTGGAGCCAGGCTAGAGGTGCAGCTCTGTAGGCTTAAAGCACCTGCCTAACTACACATAGTGCCCTGAGTTTGATCCCCAGTGCCAGAAGACCCCACACCCGAAAACAAAACAAATCGCTTCTAAGTCGTAAAGTCCTTGTATTGGGGTAGTAGCACCTGCCGGGCACCATACAGGCTCTGAGGCCACACAACTGACAATTTAGGTGTCTTTCTTGGTCACTGGGAAAAATAATAATAAAAATTGGCTGTGTGATTTTTTTTTTTTTTTTTTTTTTAGCTGTGGAAACACAGAAGGCATAGTAATAGTAAAATGGCCGAGTAAAGGGAGAAGGGAGTGAGGCTTGCATAACAGAAGGTGACATCTGAGCAGAAACTTGGTTGCTGGGTTTTCAGGCCCACACTGTTCCCCAGCCTGGCTGCACCCCACCCCCACACCAAGGGAGCATAGGAATGCTAGCCAGTGTTGGACCTGCTCCCTTTGCTTTGGGGGAACTCCTGTTTTAGGGTCAGGAGGAGGCCTTTCAGCATACCAGCCCTTACTCTTGCACCAGGTTCAGCATCCTTTCATTGCAGAGGGGGCTGCAGAGGGGTAGGATGAAGGGTGGGGTTTGGAGTCTGCAGAAGAACCAGGGCACCAGGGCTTTGGAGGATCCTGGCCTCAGGGGCCAGGTGTGCATCATGGCAGGCCTTGAGCAATGCCCCCCCAGCTTACCTGGGCCCCCCTTTCTTCATCCAGCTCCACCGTCATCAGAGCAGATGTTCCCTTCTCACTCACAGTTGAGTGGCGGCCTTGCCAGAAGAAATACACGCATTTCTCTTTGCCAGCCACTCGCGCCGGGTGCTCTCCCTTCTGTCGGCTTCCCACTGCGGACACAATGGCAGGGGGTGAGGTGAGCTGGGACACCAGAGGGGCAGCAAACGAGCCTGGCCCTCTTCCCCACAGTCTGTGGTCAAGTCAAACGGGTACCATCTTTTTCTCAGCTGGCGGAAGGATCTTCTGGAACCCCAAAGAGAACTGTGTGTCATCCCAGGCGGAGGCAGATTCCCTCTGACACCTAGTGTGTGACGGGAGACTTGGTGATGGAGAGCAGGAACAAGCTCACACAGACACTTTTCCTACCACCCTGAGCAGATCAGCTGATGGGGGAATAATGACAGCAACAGCTGTAGGAGCTTCAAGCGCAAAGGAGACAACAGACTGCTAAGTGGAATGGTGGGGCCTGGCCTCCCTCTTTGATGTCCCAGTTATGAGGCTTGGTGAGCAGAGTGCATATCTGGGACTGCAAGGCTGGGAGCATTCTCTGCCCTGAAGCACTGTGTAGTCACAGCTCAGAGCAGCACAGCTGGAGGTCAAGAACTAGAACCTCCTAAAATAAACCCTTTGTCTTTGCGGGGAACTGACTTACAAAGGGTCAACAATGAGAGAATGCAGTTGCAGGTAACACAAATGTATTTAGAATTTACTGCTAAAGCGGGGAGGGAGTGGAATGCGCATCTGTAATGCCAGGGCTGGTGTGTGGGGAACAGGCAGATCCTTGGATGCTCCTTGGCCAGTGAGTGCAGCTGGATTTATGAGCTCAGGGTCAGTCAGGGACTTTGTCTCAAAAAAACAGGGTGGAGAGTGATCAAGAGTGATGGAGTGATTAATATACACTCTCACACAGGCACAAATGTGTATGGCCACCGGCATAGACACATCTCACCGGAACACATAAACACATTACCCCCAATGTGTACAATGCACACATGTAATAGTTGAAATAAAAATAATTATTGATAACTAGGGGGTTTTCAATGAAGTATGGTGGTATTCATAAATCACACCATTAAAGAACTGTCAAGAACAAGTTTGTTCTTGGGCTGTGGAGATAGCCCTGAACTCCATTCTTAGAACTAAGGAAAAAAAAATGTCATGTACAGTGATGTGCTCTGATCTGGAGAGATGGAGACAGGTGGATCCTTGGAGCTTGCTGACTGGCCAGCCTCCCCTTAGGTGAGTGAGGGACCCTGTCCTAAAAACCAAAATGGTAGATGGTACTGAGGACAAGGTGAGGTTGCGCTCTGGCTCACAGGGCTATACACACAGACACACAGACACACAGACACACAGACACACAGACACACAGACACACACACACACACACACACACACACACACACACACACACACACACACACCACCTGGAAGCCTGGAAAAGCCTGGAAGGAAAGGCCAGTGCTATCAGGCCCTGGAGATCCATTTCTGCTTATTCTTGTTTAGAAGGCCCCAGAAGTGTAGAGGGCATTGGGGTCCAACCCCGAATCAGCCCTGCTGTACCCTATATCCCATCCCATCCCAGGGTCAGGTCCAACCCTGTCCTCAGGGTGAATGGCACAGTGGGATCATGCCACAGTTGGTTCTAAAGAGCCCAGGTCAAACTTCAGTCTGTGGCTTTGCTCTGTTCTGGCTGGGGGACTCCAGGTGGTCCTGGTCCTGTTCTTCGTCTCTTTAATAGCTGCTGTGAGGGGCAGGGGGAAAAACCCAGCATCTTGCCTGGGGAGGTATCTGTGGGAAGTTCCACAGAATGAAATCTAGCATTGCCCACCACACAATCAGTCCTCACAGCCACCCTACCCAACAATCATGTGTTGGCTGCCCAGGTTTGACTTCTCTTTGATGGCAGGTCCAAGGTCATGGGAATCAGCTTCCCATACACCAAGACACCCTGTTGCTTTCCCTGCACTTGCTTTACTCATTCTTGCCACACACTTCCTGGAGGAGCTGTTAAAGAGCCCTTCAAAAAGTAGCCTTCACGGGGCAGGTGGTCATGAAGAATCACCATTGGTAGCAGACTGTCTCTCATGCATGAGGGAAGGAATCAAAAGTCCACAAGATCTGTGCTCACCATAGTCCTGTGGTCAAGCCATATCTAGGTCCCAGGGAGTTGGAAGAACCCAGAAAACTGTCTTGGGAAGTGAATCTTAAAGTCAGAGCTGTGATGCAAGCCTTCTAATTGAAGGGCAGAGCACTGTGGACAATGATTACTGCTTTGCAAAGAATTAGAATTAACCTCCGAGCTCACAGCTCGCCCTGCTCAGTCTCTAGTATGAGGCGTTCAGTTGAACACTTTGCTGCAGAGTGTTTCACCAGTTGGAGCCCAAAAGGCTCTAGTGGAGTTTGCTGTCACACACCTGGAACCTCAGTATCTAGGAGGCTGAGCAGGGAGATTGAGCTAGCCTGGGCACAGAGTGAGAGCCTGTCTTCAAAACCAATCCAAACCAAAAATAAATAAATAAAACAATAAAATCTCATAAATAGAAAATTTAAAGATGAGTCCAGATAATAGTTATTATTCCAGATCCACAGAATAGTTAGTACCCCTACCTTTGCGGGGGGTGGGGGGGAGGAGAGACATAGAGAGACAGAGACAGAGAGTGATACAGACAGACAGAGAATAAGTATGCCAAGAGGTCAGAAGCAGAGAGAGTCTGGTGTGTTTGTCATTCTCTACCTTACTTAGCTCATGTCTCTCACTGAACCCAGAGCTCACAGAATAGATGTACTGAGTGACCAGTGAGATCTGCCCATTTCTGACTCCCTGGTGCGAGGATACAGTCACCATGCCCAGCTTTATTGTGGATGCTGGGGATTCTCACACTTGTGTGGTGGGAACTTTACCCACTGAGCTATCTCTGCAGTCCCAGGAGCTTAGTTTTACCTAAACCAGAACCTTGAGTAAGCTAAGGAAAATGTTCTACCACTGAGCTCCATCCCAGCGCCTCTACTTAAAAAGAAAACAACGAGCACACATCTTTTGCTGTGCACTTATTACCAAGCTGAAGCCCCCTTTCCCTTCAGTTCAAACCACTCTCATGCTGCACTCAATGCCGTCTTCAAACAGCACACAGGCTGGCCACGTGTCAATACCACGTGGAAGACAATCATGACTTTTCCAGAAACCTTTTAAAGACAGCGCAAGAGTGAGGGACAGGCGTGCTCAGCATGTGTTTGTAACTGAAAGTGAACGTTCATGTCCTGGCCATCCAGGCTGCCAGGAATTCACTGTCCTTCTTTCTGTGTCATTACCCGCTCATGGTTAGATTGTCTCAGGGCTCTGAAGTAGCTCAGGGCATCCAACGTGGTGCAGGGCACCCCGCTCCAGGCTTTGCATTCCAGCCCTTCTGAACTGAGAAAACACCCATGCTCACTCACCTGCTGTGCTCGCCATGTACTTCCATTTGACTACATAGGCATCCCCCTCGTGAAACTGCCCAATGCTCTGCCTGGGGAGCCGGCTGTAGTCGAATTCCAGAATGTGCCACACATCTACAGAGACGGTGGCGATCTCAATCTGTCTCCTGTCATCTCCTTCCACCAGGCCATAGCCACGGCCAACGTTCACCCCATCTAGGATGGTGCTGGCTGTCACCTGGGGCGTTGCCACCATTCGTGTTACATCATAGGGTTTGATGTCAGCCCTAGGATCATCCTACAGTGGAACAGAGTTGTTCAGCTGTCTCTTTGCCACAGATACCTTTTGCCACACCCCATGCAGCTAGGATTGCTTTTCTTTCTTTTCGTCTTTCTTTCTTCATTCCTTTCTTTCTTTCTTTCTCCCTCCCTCCCTTCCTTCCTTCCTTCCTTCCTTCCTTCCTTCCTTCCTTCCTTCCTTCCTTTCTTCCTTTCTTAATCTTTTTGTGGTGCTGCAGGTGGAGCCCAGGGCTTGGTTGCCAGGCAGCCAATTGCTCACAACAGAACTATATCCCCAGCCCCATTTTAGCTGTTAAGGGGACAGGGCAGAAATACATCTTTCATGGTGTCTCAGGGTGTCTGACTGCACATAGGAGAAGGTTATGTTTAGGGGAAGGAATGGGGGTCCTGCATACCCACTGCCACACAGTGAAGGTGAGAACGGAATTAGAAATCACTTTGTGGTATCACTAATGTACCCCAGAGGGCTTTTTGCCATCAGTCATTTTTGCTGGTCTCCCCATTGGGCCTGAACACAGGGATTGACTATTGTACCTTCTGCTGGACAACTTCCCCAGAATTCTTCTCGGTAGGTCTCTTCAGTTCTGTCCAGTCGAGGAATTTCTCTTTGAACAGAATAGTCTCATTGTGCTCCGTAACTCTCCCAAATATGGCCCAGTCAGGTCGTCCTTGCCCTTTCCTGCAGGGTGAGAGCAGATAAGAAAAGGGCCCACATCCAGCCATGGCAATTGTTGGAACAACAACCACAATATGGCAGGTGTCTGTATCCTAGGTTCACACCCCTCACTAAGCTTCAGAGAAAAACTGAGTGTCTGTTGTAAACCTTCCTCTGCAGGCTCGCTGTGACTACTGTAGAAGCAGACTCTTTGTCTCAGCTGTGAAAATCTTACATGTTGTGAGATGAAGTAGAGATGGTAGCTTTGTGGTGAAGGGTGTGGCCCTGGGAGCTGGGTCATGGCCTCTTTATCTACTTCCCCTTATAATTGGCATGCTGGTCAGAGCCCAATCATTTTAACTCAGTGGTGTCAGCTGCTTATGTGTTAAAAGGGGCTGCACGCACAATCTTAGCTGTATCTTAGAGACCCCAGGGAGATTTTAAGACAGTTGTTTTTAACCTGTGGGTGTCGACCTTTTGGGGGTTGAACAACCCTATCATAGGGGTCAGCTAAGACCATTGGAAAACAGATATTTATATTATGATTCATAACAGTTGCAAAATTACAGTTATGAAGTAGCAACAAAATTAGTTTTATGGTTGAGGGTCACTACAACTTGAGGAACTGTATTAAAGGGTCACAGCATTAGGAAGGTTGAGCACCACTGTTTTAAGACATGCTGCTACATAAGCCATCCTGTTCCAGCTGCAGTCCCCGAGACTGGACCTGGCAGGCACATGTTTTCAGAGCTCCCCCAATGATTCTGTGGCACAGATGTGAAGCCGTGGGCCAGGTGCTCTCTCTCCCACCCATGCAGGCCATGGCATCGTGTCTATGCTCCAGCATTATTCTATTCTACTAAATAAGTGCTCCAGGCTTTGTTTCAGCCCTTCAAAATCCCAGCTCTTATAGTACTATGAGTACTTGCTTGAAGATTTAATGTTTTTCAATACATAGATATAATACTTAATTTTTGTTGTTTTCTTGCTTCCCCCCTCCCCCACACAGGGTCTTTCTCACTCTGTAACTCAAGCTGGCCTAGGACTCATGTAGCCCAGGATAGCCTCAATCTCATGAGTGATCCTTGTGCTTCAGTTTCTTGAATGTTGGGATTACAGGTTTGGATTTTTAAATGTATTAGCAAAACCATTACTGGATTTTAAATGGAGAAACTATGTAGGACACTCGAAATCTGCACACTGTCCTATGCTGTTTCATGTCATGTCATGCCTGTTTCTTATTACATGACACACATAGTTTTAAAGCATTATGGAGGGTCTGGTAGTTAAAAATCAGTAATGTAGGAATATGTTTTTTTATTCACAATCATATTTTTTCAGAGTTTGTACCTGCTCTAATGATTTCCCCAAATAGTTTTTAAAAGTCTAGTACAGTGGTGAAAATTAAAATCACAACCATTCTTTCAATACAGTATCCTTCTGCCTCCCTCCACCACAGAAGACATACGGCAGCAGAACGAAGTGTCCAGGGCTCAGGGTAGGAAGATGGAAACCCTAGGAAGTTCTTAATTATCACAACAGCACCTGAGATGCTGGGCTGGGGTGGAGGTCCTTCCTAAAACTACAGCCTCCATGTTCTGTTAGTAGGTGAGAACCGAGGGAAGGTTTGTCCTGCGACCTTCCGTGGTCCACAGCATGTAAGCATTTTCTAAGTGCACTGCCTCTGTGTGAGGAGGAACAACGGGCGCCTATGGGAAGAGCAGGGCACCTGGGAATGAGCGGGTTGCACTCTCCAGGGTCCAGTGGGTTGATGTCACAATTCTCATAGTCAAAGGTTCCATTCCACAAGTGCTTGGCCAGCTGGAATGCTATTTTCCGTTGTGCTAACGTGACTTCCTTCCCATGCCACACGTAAACTTCACTTCCAAAGTCAAACACCAGGACCTGGGAAGAGCACAGACAGGATGTGTGAGCTTCAAGGGCAGATTCCAGGGCTCAGTCCCTGCTGACGAGTTCACACCCGTGACCACTCACACCACTGGGAGCTTTAAATCAAGGGTCAGTAAGTATTTCCATCTTTGTTCCAGCCTCTCTTCCTTGCTTCTCCCTCCCTCCTCTCCTCCCTCCCTCTATCCCTCATTCATTCATTCATTCATTCAACACACAGCTTATCATACACATGGCAGGTGTTGAGGAGCCAATGCTGTTTCTTCTGTGTACATTTCTAAGACCCCCTAGGGGCAGAGGTCATACCATTCTTAAAATTACATTTATTTTGTGTATGTTTGTGAAATGTAAATGAATAAGTTCTCTAATCAAAGAACAGAGTGGCTGGAAGTGTCAAGAAAAGAGAATGGGGCTGGATAGGTGGTTCTGTGGTGCAGAGCATTTGCTGCTCTTCTAGAGGACCCAGGTTCAGTTCCCAGCACCGCATGATGGCTCACAGTGGTTGATAACTCCAATGCCAGAGGATCTGATGCCCTCTCCTGGCCTCTGTGGGCACTGCATGCAAGTGGTATACAGACATGCATGTAAGCAACACAACCATACAAATAAAAACACAATTAAAAACAAAATCGTGCAACTTCTAAAAAGAACAGTGTTATGTATTTGTTGTGTATTCATGTGCACATATAAGGAAGTTTCTTATTACATGACACACATAGTTTTAAAGCATTATGGAGGGTCTGGTAGTTAAAAATCAGTAATGTAGGAATACGTTTTTTTATTCACAATCAGATAACTCAAGGGAGTTGGTTCTCTCTGTCTACCATGTTGGACCTGGGAACTGAACACATCTTCAGGCTTGGCAGCAAGTGCCCTTACTCACTAAGTCACTGTGCTGGCCCTGAATTCTTTCTACTGAGTGGAGTTTAAAGGCCTTGTGTGTCTTCCCCTTACCTACTTAATGATGCTCAAAATATAGGTAGCTAGTAAATACTTACTGTGGAGCATGAAAAAATACTTAACAAACCTATAAATTATATTAACTCTGTAAATTATATGTAACTATATATACTCACACTAATTATTCCTGAAACGTTAGGACTAATTAAAATTTACTTTCATCTGTATATACCTCAAGACATGGGGATAATATTTATATTTTATGTAAAATATAAAAGTCTCCAGCGATCCGTGACACTTCTGGGCTTTGTTAGTATTGTAGATAGCAGAAATGGTTTGAAGTAGCAATTAAGCATCCTTTACCAAGAGCCATGTTTAATAGTCAGTACAGAACCAGCTAGAACTCTCTGACAAGGTCAGCTCTGAGCACAGTGCTGTGTCTTTGGAGCTGGTACCTCTTTGGACTGCAGAAGGGAGCACTTCGGAATCTTTCCCCAGTAGTCATCATCAGGGACAAGTTTGTCGTCTGTCAGGCGGTAGACACAGTTTGTTTCTATGATGGCTGTCTCATACAGTTCATCTTCTTTTGGGTCCCCGGCAGCTTTGGGATAAGACAGGACATTAGAAAGTGGTTGGCTTAAAGGACCAGTTAAGGGAGGGGTCCGGGAGACAGGATACTCAAGTCTCCTCACGCTGAAATATGGCAAGCTCTTACACTGGTAACTGGTCTGGCCACCCAGGAGCTTCCAGAAGTCTTTGGCTGCATGGGTATGTGTGTTAATTCCTTCCTCAATTGTCTGGATATATGTAGCTCTACAACCAAGCTCCCTCTTTGTCTGAATTAATGTTGCAAGTTCAGATGCCTGTAAAAGAGAGGGACACAATGAGTTAGGAAGCAAAACCAGTGTGGTCTGCACAAAGGGACATACTCGGCCATCAGAGGAGAATGAATGCATGGCAAAGGGTTGGACATAGGGCGGTAGAGGTTGGTTGTCTAAGCTGAGAAAGTGGAATTGTAGAAGACATATAAAGTCTTTAGATCAATAACACTCAGAGTATGACACTCAATTGATATTTCAGGGGCTTTGGATACTATTCCTAGTCTGAGGCTGTCTCCATGGGGTATTTATGAGAGACACAGTGGCACTTCACAGATCTGTTGGTCACCCAGGAGTCAGCTCAGACCCAGGGCTTTCAAACTTGAGACACAGGTCACAGACCTTCACTTCAGTGCCCCATGAAAGCTCCTTCAGAGATGTTGACAAAGGACACACTACCTGCCCCTTCCTGTTTGAATGAAACACAAGGTATCGGAGAAGCTTGGTGTGGACCGGCTAGTAGAACACCTCATTGTTGTATAAAGAGCATAGTAATACCAGCATCTTATCGTTTAGATACCCACCTTTGCCTTCTCGATGACATTTGAGAACTCTCCTACCCACAGGAAGCAGTACTGGGGAGAGAGCAGAAGGAAGCAGTCCCCACTGTTGAGTGACGAGGCTCGAGGTTCCACCAGCCTTGTCTGCACGTGTCTTCTACCTGTGGACAAGCCCGAGCACACTTTTTCCACCATGCAGACATCCATGACGGACACATCTCTGATACAGACCTCCCACTCTAAAGACTCTATCAGTCTGATTTCCCAGGACCAGCAGGACATGGACGTTAAAATGGGCCACATGATAGCAACCTAGGTAGATGTTGCTGGTGAGTGCTTCCCCTAGGTCTCCACGCTTCTCAGGAGTGGCCTCCAAGCCTTGGGTTTTAGCATTCTGTGGATGTAGTGAGGCCCTCCCATCTTGGGTGAGTGGTAGGGACACCTTGATCCCCTCTTTCACATCCATGCTGTCTTTTCTCCATACAGCCTACTTCCTGTGCTTCACACCTAGCTATGCTGCAGGATAAGGCATGCCTCCTTGCAGGGCCTCCTTCCACAGGCACTACCCTGTAGCTCCCAGAGCAACTGGATGGCATCACATAGGAGGGGAGCACTATTTTGTCCCACTTTCAACCCCTTCTGAGTGATTCAATGAGTTGGAGCACTCTGATTGCATACCTAGTGCAATCTCCACACCAGAGCCCCCCCCCCCTGTCTTTTGTATGTGTTGGTGCCTATATCCATGCACGGATATGTAGGGACCAGGAGGACTCTAGTCATTTTCTTCCCTTGAGACTGAACCTGAACTTGCCATTTTACCTAGACTGGCCCAGCCATTAAGCTCTGGGGATCTGCCTTTCTCTGCCCCACAATGCTCGGGTTACAGATGCACACACCCATGCCTGGTTTTCATGTGAGCGTCAGAAATTCAAACATGGTTTCTCATGCTTGTATAAGACTCTTACCCACTGAGCCATATGCTCACTCTTCACTCATCTTTTAAATACATCAAAAATGAAATGGGTTTATAGAAAATACATCAGAATCGTTGGTAGAGGCAGAAACTACTCTTCATCCTTCTCTTAATCGAGCTACAGAGAGAAGCTGTCCTCCCTCCTTACAGCCCTAGCTTCCTGCTGCTCTTCCAAGTCTCATGTGTTGTAGACAGAAAGGGCAGGAGAGTGGACCCTGGGGATGCATGAGGCTCACTTGGTCCTGCATTCCCTTGACTCCTTCTCCAGGGAAGCGCTTCCTTACTCTGGCTGGCATGGATCATGGCTTATCCGAGTAGGAAGAACCAAGAAAGCTGCACAGACCCATGCTGGAGATTGCAAACACATATGGTAAAGTGCATGGCAGTGTTGGAGTCAGAGCTATTAGGTCAGAAGCAGAAGCAAAACCTGAGGCTCTGGAAGGGCAAAGAACTGAGTCCAACTCTGGGTCTCCTACTCAGCAGCTCCGTGTCCACATTCTCAAACTCTCAGAGCTCCAGTGGACGGAATAGCCCCGGCCTCATGGAGTCTGTGACGTCTGTGAAGGAATCAGCGTAGCACCTAGCAAGGGAGACTCAGGGTGCCTGCCTTCCCCTCACAGACAACAATGGATACACTCAGGAGTCCTATGATCAGACAGAAACCACAGGCTGCCTGCCACAGTTCTTCTGGACCACTAGGAAGAATACCTTTAATCTGCAACAGCATGAGCTTCTTGTAGGGCACGGCACTGTTGTTGGAGTTCTGCTCCATTAGGTTGACACTGCGCAGGTTGATGCTGCTGAAGTTCTCCCTACTGGCTAGGCCTGCCAGAGTCACTTCTGAGAAGTTGGAATTGGATGACACTGTGAAGGGGGTTGGGGGAGAATGCTCAGTTGAACGCCAAGGTTCACAACATAGGTGACTAACCAACAGGACTCAAGTCTGAAGGGTTGTACCATTTGATGCTTAATTACTGTGTACAGCATTCAATGCAGTATGGAAAGCATCAACTGCTGTTGTCAAGGGTCACAGCACTTGACACCCTGCAGGAGGCTGAGTCAGTGATCTAGAACCACCTATCCAGCTGAAAACTAGATGCTAGACTCACTCCATCCAATTCAACCAACAGCACTCAGAATTCCTAACCCCTTAGAGATGCTGGGACTGATTCCCCCAGTAGACATTTCTCACCAAGTCTCCACAGGTATAAAGGTGACAGCCTGTAGGGATGATTTAGTTCATTTTGTGATCAGTGTGATCAATTACATGGTATCTTTTAGTTCTTTGCCATCAGACCTAAGGCTGTAGTCACAAGATGCTGGGTTGCTGGGTTTCCAGTGTGGACCCTAAGCCAGCACAAGCCCGAGACCCACAAAAGTGGAGGTGGTGGAGACATGTGAAAATTGTGTCAATAAACCTTTATTCTTCCTAACTCATGGGTTTTTAAAATGTTACTATTGGGGCAAAAGTCAGTCAGTGATTTCAACAAAGGATGAGACTCTTAACACTGAGAATTGAAAACTAATGCTATTTGGTATTTCAGACAGCCCAGGCATTTTGGGGAGCATTTCTTAGTCAGTCAGGATGCAAAGAGAACTATTTTACCTAAATTCTCCCTCTTTCTCCTCCTCCAGTCTTTTCTTCCCTCTCTTTCCCTCCATTTCTCTCCCCCCCTCTTCCTCCCTTCCATCTTCCTTCATTATTTTTGGAGCTAGGATTTAATATGTAGTTGAGACTAGACTGGTACTTGGGAGTTCTCCCTGAGTGCCGGGATTGCAAGCATGCACCACAACTAAATACTCTTAAAAAATAACACTAAAAACTTTAGCAAATTGGTTTATGAATGCTACAGGAAAACAAAGATTACAGCAAAAACTATTTTAAGTACGAGATGATGGATGCTATAACTGCCATGAAAATCACTGTTTACAGTAATGAGACCCACCTTCTGGGCCAGATGAAAGCAGAGATGTGTAGCTCAGGGTCATGTACAGTCAGAGACCAACCTCATTCTCTATTCCAGAGTCCATTCCAAGTCCCCCACCCTAGCCCCTCTAACTCAACTCCAAGCAGCCCCAGGACCTCTTCCAACAATCTGAAAGTGCTGGTTTAATATGCTGGAGTGAGGAAAGGAGTGAATTTGGATATGCACATTAGCTCTCCTAAGACACCCTCCAATAAGGTTAAATGGAGAATTGTGGGTGGGTGGGTTTTCTGGAACTGAAAAGTGGAGGAATTCTAAAATCAAGAAACACACATCTCCTTCCATCTCAAGACCCAATTCAGTAACACAGCATCATTTAAAAAGCACTTTAGTGAGAAACCTTTAAACTCCAGGCAGGCGTACACATGTATGTGTGAATTCAGTTTTGCTAATGAATGCTCTCTGAACACCCACTGGCCCTGAGAGGCAGATCGAAAGGAAATAACAGCTAAGCAGGCGGTAGCTCCTGGCACTCACTCTTTTCCACTTTCATCCGCTTGGACTCCATGAAGGCAACGTTTAGCCTTTGCTCCGTGTATTCCTGAAGGAGATCATCTCTTGCTGCCAGCAATTTGAGAGGGTTCTTAGAAGCCTGGACCCGGCGCTTAGGCCTAACGGAGCGCTTGTGCTCTGCCACAGAAGATGTCAACCTGTGGGGAGAGCAGATGTGGTGGCTCAGGCTGTTGTCACCTTACCTTGTAGGTCTTGGACCTGGGACAATACACCTGGGACAATTTTACCTCCCGGTTTCATCCCACTACTTCTGCCCTGATGTAGAGGCACATCTTGGAGGTAAAGGGAGAATTGAGCCTACTAGTTGTTAATTCTTCTGGTTCTGGAAGCCTTGTCCACTTGTGCCCTGAGTCTCTGCCTGGAGAGTGTCCAGTGTTATTGGACAGCTCATTCCACTGTTGGCTAGGCTTTCTGGTTAGGGAACCCAAGACTGTACACACTGCAACTACCACTGTGACCAGCAAGTTCCCAGAGCCTTGCTAGATGGCACTGTACCTCCATTGAATCCTCTTTGCCCCATACTAAATGTTTTCTTCACACACACAGCTTTTCCATTCCCTCTGCAGCTAGTATTAATTCAACCTTCCAGCTCCCTGGAGAAAGTAACCACACTTGTGAAGAATATACCAGAATAAAACAGGCCTTCAAAATCATCTCTGGTCCTTGAGACTGTCCCAAGTGTGAGTAGACCAGCATGGGGAGGTAGTGTGTCAGTGACATGGTCTCCCAACAGACTCCTGGGGTGACATGAAACTATCAACTGCATACATCTCTGCCAGGAAGCATTCTTTGTATATCACTACTGTGCATGTGAGCACAGATACACATTTGTTTAGATTATTATATATCACAACTGTATATAACAATCTCAGCAATGACTGTTGCATGGGGAGAATGTGAATTGAACAGACTGAAATATCCAAAGCAGTACATCCCCTGAAGAATAGTTTAGGGAAACTTTTACCGAGAGTAAACACACCCTTGGAAGGCACAGTTGCTCTGATCATTGCACAGGGAAAAGCAGTGGGTGGCTGGGTGCAATTTGCTTACCACGAGTGTCCCTACTTCTGGTCATGCTGTTTGGGGCTTCCTCCGGGTGCCCACTTACCCCTGGTTATTAGGCATCATCTGTCCTCTTGACTACATAGATGATTTTAGGGATAAACTTAGGATTCAAACTGGAAGTGAAGGCCAAACCTGGACTTTGAGGATCTACTGGGAAGTGAATCTGGCTGAGCTGTGTTGCTGGAGTAGCTGGCTCATTTGTTGCTAGAGGTGGACACTTCGAGAAGCCAACATAGGGAAAGTCGGCCTTGACTTGAGTTTGAATTAAATTCCTCCCTAATGGCTTTTTTGTTTTGTTTTGTTTTCTGATCTCAGTTCAACACATGTATTTCTGGCATCTACCAGGGATGGAATCCTAACACATGATCACTTTTTACAATGATCCACTGGATATCTTTGCATGCCTCTGAGAAAACCCACGGACATACTAATTTTATATATCACTAGAAGCAAAGGAACCTTGGCTCCTAATTTTCTAATAGCTGTGCCAACCTGAGCTCATATCATCCAAATATCCAGTTATGAGTAAGTTCAGTGGTGTCCATTGGGACAGTTGTGGGCATCTGCTAAGTGGCGATACTATAACACCCAATGTTTCAGTGGTGAAACCCAGCCATACCCTTTGAGACTGCACAAACACCCAGGGCATGCCTAGTAGACCTGTAAGTACAGCAGGGCAACCACATGTGCTTTCTCTGTCTTGAGGAAATGAGCACCTGATTCTAGAGTAAATATCCACGGCAGAAGTTTCTGGTGACAGGAACTAGGGGAGCATGTGAAGGAAGCCATTCTCATACTCACTTGGGAGCATAAGGATCAAAAATGACATCAAAGTCCTCCTCCAGCTCCACAGGACTTCTAGGCATATTGTGATCCATGCTGCGGTAGAATTTGGCAAAGGTCTCATCATCATCCAACTTCATCACCTCCTTGACAGATTTCCCAGTAACTGTGAGAACTGTCTCCTGCATCCCAGCAACTACCAATAATAGAGCAAAGACAACACGAGCTTTAGAGAAACAACTACCAACAACAGAGAGAAGACACCATGAGCTTATCAATAACAGAACAAAGATGCCATGAGTTTTAGAGAAACAACTACCAACAACAGAGAGAAGACACCATGAACTCTAGAGAAACATTTGCTGTGAATTTTCCTTGCAGTGCTTTTAAAATTGTTTCCCTCTAAGTTCCCAGAGTGTGTAAAAATCCTTTCTCTGCCTTCCCTGCCCCTGCCCACCAGTTCCCAGCTCGCTCTATTTCTCATGTAATGATATCCCACCTGCTCAGTGATGGTCAGGACAGGAAGCAGGCTAACCTTGCCTACATAAGCATGTGAGCATTTCTGATCCTGACCCATTTCTACTAGTGGAGAAACTAACTTTAGCCTTGTTCCATATTAGGGACAGTTCTGCAAACTTTTTCTGCAAAGGACTAGGAAGCATTTGGGACTTTTGGCAGGGGAGACTACATAGCTTATGATGCAATTCCTCAATCCTACTGTTACAATGCAAACGTGGTTATAGGCAGCAGGTCAATGATAGGACATAGCTGTGTTCCAATAAAACTTTATTTCCAAGAGCAGGTGGAAGGCTGGGGAGCTCCATGACCACTGCCTGTTGACCATGGGATAGATCACTGCTATTCCATTATGTTGGCTACTTTTATGCCAACTTTCTAGAGGCTACAGTCATTTTGGAGAGGAGAATATCATCTGAGAAGATGTTCCCACTAGATTGGCCTATGGGCAAACCTGAAGGACATTTTCTTGATTTGTGATTGATATGGGAGGCTCCAGCCCATTATGGGTGGTGCTGCCTCCAGGCAGGTGGTCCTGGGTGCTATGAGAAAGCAAGCTGAAGAAGCCATGAAGAGCATGACAGAAAACAGCTTCTCCATGACCTTCACAGTCAGGTTCTGGTTCTTATTCTGTTTCCCTGGATGATGGACTATAAGTGTTTTGTTTGTTTGTTTCAGGTTTTCTTTGTCATTCATGGGAAATGGAGACCATGTGTGCTATAGTATTAAACCTGAAGCTGCCCTCTGCCTTCTGGCGCTCACCTTTGTTGTTCAGCCTCCTTAGAAAGGTCTCCAGCCTGTCCAACTTCAGGTCCGATTCCAGCTGCATGTCTGGTCTAGCTTCAATATCTAAACAAGTAGAAAGCACCAGTGAGCGAGGCCCCGTAGCTTCCCTGTGCCGATACTCACATCACTGTGGGCAGGGTGACGTACCTTCCAGGGGCTTAGAAACTGGGGTGGTGCCCCTTGATTTGCTGCAGAGAGGGGATGAGACTGGAGTTATGGCTGTGGGTGATGCCAGGCCTACAGAACACACAGGGGGACAGATTAGCATTTTGAAGATTCATTGTGGAAATTCACAGAACCCAGTGAATATGCATGTCCCTACAGTGTGAGCATAGACACAAAAACGCACAGTTTAGCCACCATGGCTGTGCAGGCCAAATGCAGTCGTGCCTGTTCCTATGAACGATGCAGCTGCCAAACTCTGTCAAACTGGTATTCCTAAATGGACAGGGAAGGCATGGGGAAGCATAGCCTCAGCATGGAGTGAGAGTGCACATACATGGCTTCCAGGACACACTGGAACAAGTGAAGTTTGAAAGCCTTTTGGAGTGGCAGGGGCCATAGAGGAAAAAGCAAATTTGTACCATCTCCCACAGAGGAAGTTAGAGGTAAGCTGGCTTGTCCTAGGTGCAAGTGGCCCGAGCACCAGGATCCTCATCCAGTCTGGGGGAGGCAGTGACAATGTGGGCACTGGATGGAGAAAAGCCCAGAGGTCTGACCTTTCAGAGGAGAAGCAGGCAAATGCACATCAGACCCATCTGGGGCTGTGGGAGGGTCACACTCAGCCACAGGGTGGGAAGAGCTTACTGGGTCAAAGGCTGAGGGGCATATGAAAGGAAAGAAGGGGGGTGGGGAGTGGTGGTTAGCACAGAGTGGGCACCCAGTTGAAATATGAAGACACAGTTTAGAGCTACTGACCCCCATCCAAGTAGAAGAGACTGGGGAGGGAAATAAGTGCAGTGTTTGGAAAGAACTGAATAAGCCGCTGCTGTTCTCTGCATCCTTTCAGTGTGTGTGTGTGTGTGTGTGTGTGTGTGTTTGACACAACCCTGCTCTCCTAGGACAGCCAGAGAACATGTAAGTCACTCACTCTCATCTGTAAGGAAAGACAAATGGTTCACTCCATTCCTTCTCCTACAAGCTGGAGAGAGGCAAATAGAGCATAAAATGCAGGAAAAATGCAACAACTGGTAAGTGGCGTAAAACTTAAGTTCTGAGTGACAGGCTAGAAACTTCTCGGTGTTCCTTCGCATATATTCTTGCAGATATGCATGCTTACATTCTAAACTCTTTTATTTTGTCAAGCATACAAAAAGCTCAGTGTCCATGAGAAATAAGTTTTCATGTAAGTAAATCTGGTGTCACAGAATAGGGCAGGCATCAGGTCATTACCTACTAAAGGGGCGCTTGAGAGTTATCAGATGATTCCATTGGATCTGAAGCTAATAAACTAGACTGACCCTACAGGCTGATAGTCCCAAAGCAAGGGGCAAAATCTGCCCTTCTACATGGACACCAGGCAAATCCCACTGCTGTAGCACCCCCTGCTGCCAGTGAGGGCACAGTGCACGCAAGGGTTCTTAGAAGTGGGATATTGCCTTCCCAGCCAGGGACAGGGATTTCTTCATAACACTACAGGGGGCATAGGGTGAACTTTCAAAGTATTAAAATAACCGAAGCTCTCCCCACAGCTCTTTTCAGTGAATTCTAGAAGCAATAAACAAGGACCGCCTCTCTGGGAATAGTTTCACATCTTTTATTCACAGCATGATCTGAGTGCTTTTCCTCCACTCTAGGATACGAGCAAGATTTTGTTACCCAGGGTGTAAGAATATAAAAAGGAGAGAATGTCCAAAGGAAACCAGGAGAGCTCGGAGCTTCCTGGGGAGAAAGAATGAAACCCCGCACCGCACCTGGCTGAATGCGCCACTGGGACTGTGAGACAAGAATGTCTATAGCTGTAGGGTTCCACGGCTTGTGCAGGGAAACAGGAATGAAAACTTTCACTGTGCGATAAACCACTCCGGATCCAAACCAGCAAATGTGTGTCCCCTGATGTCAGTGTGGGCCAAGGCACAAGGCCAAGGCTACAGTGGGAAGAGTCCAGTTAGGGCTCTTTAGATGACATGGCAAAATAACATAACATAAAACTAAGCAAATTACCATCAGGACACAAGTTGGAGCCAGAAGCTGAAGGTTTGGGCCCTGGTTCACTTTCAATTCCAACTGCTTTTCATGGATTTGAGCCCAGACCCCTGCTTCTTGTTAATGCTGGGAGGGGTAGGTAGGTAGGTAGGTAGGTGTGTGTGTGTGTGTGTGTGTGTGTGTGTGTGTGTGTATGTGTGTGTGTAGGGGGTTGGGCTCAAGATTACACCTGACTAAACATTTCCATGTTCACATGAAGAAAAGCCAGGTCCTGCCTCATCCTGTGAGAGTAAATGATTTTCTGCTGCCCTTTGAGGATTCCAAGGTCAACACATTTATTTCAAAAGCTTCTTCTGATAAGATTCAAGGAAATTACCCTCCAGGGTTCCCCCGGCCCATTCTGCAAATATCTGTTGAATGCATGCTGTGATAGAGTTAGGCTCTATTCAGAAGCGAAGGTTTGAGGAGAAGAAACACTAAACTTATAGAGTAGATGGCAGAAGCCAAAGATTAAGTGTATGTGATTACTTTTACTGTTATCCAGAAAGTTTGCTTTGGATAATGGCTTGAGAAATAAAGGCACATGCAAATAGATGATGGAGGGACCCTAACACTTAACCATGTCTCATAGAACATAAATTAAAGCCCCCCCAAGCCCCCAAAACTCTCTGGAGACTATTAATGAATGTGGTATGTGACTCATTACTCAGTTTCTTGTGCCTCTGGGTCCAGCCTCGCACAGTTCTAACATCCCTGGTGTACTAAGGGATCTCGGGGCATCCCTCTTCCCTGGAATTCAGAGTATCTTTTAGATACAGCTTATAAAGCTAGAGCCAAAGGGACATAAGAAGTGACCTGCAAGGGACAAGAGGGCTCCTTCATACTACAACACCTTTATCGCCAAAGGTTTACTTGTTGGTGGTAGGATGGTGGGAGGCATGCCTAGATGTATGTCAGGCCATAAGAAGATGGAAACAATGTAAAAGGAGCTGGGGAAAATAATTGGTTAAAATTACTGCTATCTTTCTTTTCCTTTCTTGGCAGAGCTGCAATTGCTTCTGAAACCTACAGCTGCACTCAATTACTAAACAGGTAAGTTCTGAAGGAGTGACAGATTGAACGAGGCTTCCGATCCTGAAGAGGGCGGCAAAGGCTGCAGCAGAAATACGCCACACAACCAGCAAACCCATTTACTCAAGACCAGTGCGGTGTGAGATGTAAAGACCAGGGCTTTCTCCCCTTTCTACTGAGTTGTCTCGTGCCCTTCTACCTCCATGGATAATGTGTGCACGGATGTGTGCACACACATGTGCATGCACTGACATGCTCATACACATGGGCTCTGACCTTTCTTCACCATTCTTCCTGCCACGGTGAACTGCGTGGAGTCATTGGCAGCACCTCTGCCCTTCGTCTTCCACGCTTCCTCTCGCACGGTGATGAGGTGTTTCCTCTCCTCAATCGTCATCTGGCTCTCTCGACTTTCTGTGACCCTCTGTGTACAAAATGCACAGAAAGGAAAATAAGAGGAGAAGTGATGGAGGTGTGAACTTTAGCCTGGCAGCATTTCTCAAGTGAAAAGAACCGGAAAGAAGGGAAGCTGCCATGTTTTACCTGTCTCCTGAGGCTTGGATGACTTCATAAGGAAGGTTTCCATGTATGCGCTCACAAAGAACATGGTTAGTCTAGAACATCTCACCTAAGCCAGCTCCCCAAGAGTATCAGTGATGATGAAGTAAGGAAGCTGGTTAGAAGGAATGTGAATTATAAGATTCCCCAGGGCTGGGTGGGCCGTGTTGTCCAGTAGTGATGTCACCTGGGAGTTAAGTAGCCAGGGGAGCCCAGGAGAGGCTCTCGAAAATAACAGATCTAACACCAAGGATTTACTTAGTGGTAGATATAACCTAAACAGAGAACAACAGTTCTCAGCATTTGAGTCTCTAACATGGGTGATTTCAGTGACAAATGGCAGCTTCCCCATCATCTAATCTATGAATCTTCCTTGCATATGATTCTCTAGCACACCTTCATGGTTGGAAGTTATTCTGACACACCTAGTAATTCAGATGAGGTAGAGATTTGTCCCAGTGGATGACAGCTAAATGCAGTGCACAACCCTGGTATGGGTTTTGGGGTGGGCTTAGTAAGGATATTATTGGGGGAAATTGACACAATTCAAATACAGATGTGGGTTTGGTAAACATGATGCCAATGTCAGGTCTCTTGTCTTGATCATAGCATCACTATGTCGTGGTCATGGGGGAAAACACCCTTGCCTTTAGGAAGTACATAAGAACTACTAAATGGAGCAGGTCTCCCTATTACTCAAACTTGTTGTGCTTGGTTTGGGAAGGAAAGATAAAATTAGACACACACAGTCAAACACATCCATATACATAGCCACATACACAGATACACGTAACATACACATTCATACACAGTCATACACACACACAAACACAATCACAGTCACACACACACACACACACACACACTCATACATACAGCCATACAGACTGACAAACAGATGAGGACAGTCACGGAGACACAGGCACATGCTCACACAGTCATACATGGAATGGGAGAGGGGACTAGGAGAGAGGTAGACAGAAGAGTGAATATCAGAAATCAGTGGGTCAGGAAAGGGTATAGCAGAGTACCCTGCCTATTATGGAAACGTTTCTAAAGTTTTACCTATTGCCGATATGAAATATATTAAGAATTAAAAACAAAGGCAAAAACATTTAAAATCTTTTCACTCGGGACTGACAAGATGACCCTAATTTCAAAGAGTGCTTGAGCTATGTAATTTTACTAAATAAACTGTGAGGTTGTCTTGGCAGAAAGATGCAATGACACTTGAGAGAATAAGTTTGCTTGAAAAGGAAGTGTCCAGAGTAAAGTTTAATTAAACCAGTAGTGCAGTTGGCTAAAAGTATTTCTAAAAACATCCAGAATGCCTTTAACATTGGTTCTTTTCTCTACGGTGAGCTCACAGTTTCTCCAAAGAGAAAGGTGGGTAATTTGCTTCAGTTAATGACCGAGAAAATGCTCAGATCAGCAACAGCTTAACTCTCCTCAAAACACCTAAAATGTCTTTATGGTAGAAGAAAGTTCTGAGCTCGAGATGAAGCAACTCAGTCCAAAGCTTCCAGAAGCAACATTTTCTTATTTCCGTATGCGAGTATTAAATATAGAAGTTTTTCTTTTGCTGGAAATTTCTACATAACTTGACTAGTTGGCATGGTTGGCTTGGGAAACTCTAGTCCATGCCCCTTGACCTTACAAGGCTCTAGAAGGAGTAATGAATATGCAGTTGTGTATTCCCCGAGAAGCCTATAAAATCCACCCTAAGGTGTGAAACGCTCAAAGTATGAAAAACATCCCAACTACTTTTGTCTCTTTCTTTTTTCCGTTTGAAACATCATTAATTATTATCTACATTTTTCTTTTCTTGTTTGATTCTGTTGAATTCTGTGTCTTGTTCCTGGGTTAGCAGTCGGGTGCTTAGGAGCCTGGAATAGTGTGAGAGAGGCAGAATACGGGCAGAAGGACCTACCTCATCTATAAGTCAGTCTTTCAAATACAGATACCATCAATATGGGATCGAAGCAGAGGGAATGAGAACGAGGATGCGGGAGGAGGGTGAAGGAGAAAGTGAAACAGGGAAGAAAGGATGCACAGACACACAAGGAGCGTCAGTTTCCAGGTTACCAGGATGCTGCGGATCAGTTTGTTTTTCTCCAAGCTCTTGGGAAATCACAGCAAGTCCCCACATTTCACCCACAGGGATGAGACAAGACAGCAGAGCACAGCTCAGGTACCATTATGGCTAGCAGCAAATTAAAAGGCAAACTTCCTACACAGTTAGTGAGTTTCATAGGAAGAGCTATTGTAATCTGGCTTTTAAGTCTTTATCTTACATTGAATAAATGTAAGGTAAAATAGCAGAAATGATAGAAGAATATGCTAAGTAATAGAGATAGGGTCAAACCACAGAATTCTGTGCAATGGTAAAGAATTTAGCTTTGCCTTCCCCAACAAAGCTTTTGACACATGTTCGCATACAGTGTCACATGATCTCAAATTGGAGACGATGAAGAATCCCAGAGTCTATAATTTAAAGTGATTTTAGTCTGGTCCTATAGCCGGCTGGGGGCTTCTGAAGGATAGAACAGCACCTTACTCTTGACAGCCTTGGTGTAGGCAAGGAAGCCAGGGATCCACAATGCCTCACAGAAACTGTTCAGACACACTGTTTCCTTCTCTTTCTCTTGTATCAGGGGACATGAAGACAGTGCCACCACTGGCGCCAAGTAAGGGACTTCCCTGATCACTAGGACCACTGATAAACCATAACCAAGTTAACACATGTTTAGCTGGGTAAACTGTTAAGAAGTTAAAATGTGTTGTTTTAGATGTTCTAAAGTTTGAGGTCATAAAACATAAAATGCTTTTGGTAAATGTTAGTTTTCTTTGAACGTAAAAAATTCATGGGAGATATCCCATGTTTGTAGATAGATGTTCAGCTCAGTTCTCACCAATTTGATGATCTATAAATCCAATGCAGTCCCAGTAAAAATCTCAGTAGGATCTTTTAAAAATGGGCAAACTTATCCTGACCTTGAATTTATATGGAGAAGCAAAAGCTTTAGGCCAGGCCACAGAAACTGAAGAAGAATGAAGGTGGAAAACTCGACTTTAAGATTCGTGAAGCTATAGTGATCGGGACAGGATGATGTCAACAGAAGAGGATAGGAAGCCCAGAACCAACCCCACATGCCCACACCTGACTGAACTTTGAGAAAGAAAGGAGTAAAGGCAATACAATGGACAACAGAGGTGTTGTTGTTGTTGTTTTGGTTTTTTTGAGATAAGGTTTCTCTGTATTATTTGAGCCTGTCCTGGAACTCGCTCTGTAGACCAGGCTGGCTTTGAACTCACAAAGATTCTCCTGACTCTGCCTCACGAGTGCTAGGATTAAAGGCATGTGCCACCAACGCCCAGCTAGAATAGAGTATTCTTAAGAAGCCATGTACTGGAATATTTGCATATTTGCTTATATGCAAAACAAAAATAAACCTAGGTTAGATCATTCATAATTCCCCCAAACTAACTCCAAGTGGTTCATAGAAATGTGCAACTATAAAACTCTCAGAAGATAATAGGAGAACATCTAGACAGGAACTTAATCACACACATAACCCTACGCTGCCCTGTCTCACCTCACTACTGAGATCAAACCTATGTCCTTATGTGTACTAGTTCCCAGCCTGGATATAATTATTTTTCAGGTAGAATACCAAAGGCATGTTTCATGAAATAACTAGCTGGCAGTCTGGTTTTACTGAGATTAATAAACTGTTCCATGAAAGATCCTGTCAGGAGAATGAGAAGACAAAACACAGGGTGGGAGGGAATATTTGTAAAGCGTGTACCATAGGACTGTCATCCAAGATACACAAAGGGTTTTAAAAACTGAACGATTGGGAAACAAATGGGACAACCATCTATATAGATAAACTACCAAAGAAGATATATGGGTAGAAAATAAGCATATGACAATATATTCAATGTGAAAGACTGTAAGAAACTTACATACTAAAATGAGACCCTATGATATATTTTTTGGAATGGCCAAAATCTAAGACAATAACATTAGATGTTGGTATAGACATTGAGCAACAGAAATCTCCATTGGAAGTTGGAGGAATGTGAAATGATATAGCCACTGTGAAATAGCTGGAAGTTTCCTATGAAATCAAGTATGCTCTTACTGTAGGATTCTTCAATCGCATCCTTTAATACCTAAATACTAAAGTTTGTGTCTTAAGACAGGCTGCATGTGAACTTTTGTTATAGTTGCTTTACTCACAACTGAGATGCCAACGAGTAGGCAAATGCCTAAATAGGCTTAGTCCATGCAGACACATGTAACACTGAAGAGAAATGATCTATCAAGGTACAAAAAGGCCCAGGGCCAAGTGAAACTGCCTGTTTCCAGCTCTATAGAAACATTAAGATCAGCAGTTATCAAAATCAGGGGGTTGAAAATGATGGTCAGGGAGGCCCAAACGATGTTCAGGGAGGGACACCACCATCCTGTAGCCAGTGTAGCGGTAGGCATCATGGATCAGCCCGAGTACTTGCTGCCAACAGTGAGCTTGGCAAGAAAGCACCGCACAAGCTTGAACCATAGTTACTCTGGTGTTTTCTGGGCATCTGCCTTAGGACTGAAATGTTAAAAGATAAAAAAAGTGAACCTTTTCCTTATACCAGTTTTATGACCTTGAAAGGAATTCATCCTATTGAATCCACCTAAAATTTTGGAATGAAGGATGCAGTATGGATTGAGCCACTTTGAAAAATATGAAAAAGTTAAACATACACATGAACACACAGAGATACACACAATCTCCCCTCTTTTCTCCACAGACAAATGAAATGCCACAGAAGAGTTGCTTCTTTCACAAATGAAGCCTTCCCTACCACTCAGAAATTGCAATGAGGCATAACATGTGTAGGCTTTTCCTCACCTGATTAACAGAAACAAAAGACAGGTATTTATGGGCAGAAGGCATAGCAGGAAAATAAGTAGAAGCAAATACAGGTTCCTATAGGGCAAAGCAAGAGGATTAGAGGTAAAAGTGGAAGATGGACTGGAGTATGGGAGCGGGGAGTGAGTTGGGGAGAAGAGATGCAAATAACGGATTGTCTAACAGTTAATTTTCTCATTGCAATTTTGGCTCTTTCTAAGAACACTCTTCCTTTGAGTGCGTCAATGCTGAATAGCATACATCCTTCACAGCCCAGCGCATGCACCTGAGCCAGGGTTGTTTGGTAATTGATAAGCTAATGGCAGATTGCTGTAATACACAAATACATTTATGTATTAACTACTAAAACATTTAATACATAAATGATTCCTTTCTTTATGGCATTTTCATAATATGGCTTAAAAATCATTTATGAACACAGGATCAGCTTCCTGACTGGATGAAAGCTGTATGTTGCCTAGGAATACAAAGAAACAAAACCAAAACAAACAGAGAAGGCACGGGGCACCATGGGTGCTATGACATTAGAAGACATGTTAGCTGCCGTAGGGACAGTCAGTCGCCTATGCTTGGGTGGGCAGAGTGAGCCTCTGCCCCTCTAAGTGATTGTGATGCATCACTCCTTCAAAGACATTTGTTTGTTTGCTTGCTTGTTTGTTTGTTTGTTTATTATGTTTCAGATAAGGTTTCCAGAGAACTTCACAAGGGACCAGACAAAATTATAGTCACTGTGAGACTGTTCAGATGACCTGCACTTAACTGAGATGCTCCCATGCTATTAAAAAATACAATGCTACATAGGACTACTAAGCATGCTCAGGGTGCTCAGGAATGCATCAGCACACAAATATACATATAAATATTTGAGTTTTCCCAATAAAAGTCATGGGCTTTCCCTTTCTAACCCATGGCTCTGAGGGCTCTCTGTAGTGCTCTCCAGGTAGAATCCCCTCTCTTTGCTCTTCTGTCTCCTGGCTGTGTATCTACATTTTGCACCCACCTGGGGAACCATTATGTTCAGTTACAGAAGGATACCTGCATTAGAATCAGGCTTACCCAAAGCAGATTAGAAATGGCATTATCATCTGTAAATCCTCCTTCTTCCTACAGGTTAAAACAAATGGGAGACATTGTAGAGGACCAAAAGGAGCAGCCTGCTGGGGTGTCACCATCACTCTGTGCCTGGGTTCAGTCAGTCAAAAGCATGCATGTGCTCACATTCCAGTGCAATGAACAGCAAGCAATCTCATTCCTCAGGGGCAGGATGACAACCCGTGAGCAGACATCCAGTAGCTTGCTTTCCCTACTGTTCTTCCCCATCAAGCTGTTTCCTCCTTAGCTATGGCAGACAAGTCCAGCAGGGGTCCCTTCCTTGAGTCTTCAGGACCTTTTCTGGTGACATCTGAGATCTCAGTCTTAACTGACCTCACCAGAGCAGGAGCAGAAAGAGCGCCTTCCCCATCGCCCCCTAGGACTCACACACAGATATAGACCTGAAAACAGCCAGATCTACAGTGGGTTTTATTTCATGGAGAAAGTCTCAGAAACTGGATGACTGCCTTTAAAAGGACATGGGAGTCACTTTACCTGCAGCAATGTTGACTGACCCAAGTTGAGCTGGGATTTAGTTAGTTGGTGACAATAAAGAACTATAATTTGCTAGAAAGAAAATACCTGGAAGGCCATGTCCTTAAGACCTTGTTTTGTTTTCCTTTCTCCTGATGGACATGAAACCGGTCCTGCTTAAGTGCACATGTCCCTCCAGGTGTGGACCTAGTTCGTGCCACCACCTAATGCTTCCGGACCCTTATCACTAGGTACATGTACCGTATCCTGAAGCCCAGATGTTTGTCTGCTTGCCTTGACCTGCACTAACTCAAGTACAGAGGGCAGGCATGGATGGTGGGGGACAGGAGGAGAAGGAAGGGACCTGAGTGATTTCCCTGGGAAGTGAGGGTAGCTGGGAATAATCAGTGCTAAGAGTCAATTCATTAATCTTGATATTTGAGGAGCATAATTAGAAAAGGAACAACTGCTCCCTGGGGCTGGAATCTGAGAACAGAAAGGAAAATTCTTACTTCTTTCAAAGCTATTTAGATAGTTGTGAGCCCTCACATGGGTGCTGGGAATTGAATATGAATTTTCTGGAACAGTCAGTGCTCTTAACCACTAAGCCATCTCTCCAGCCCTGCTAGTTATATTATCTAAGGTCTTACTCAAATTTTTAAATTATCAATATGGCATTAATAGAAATAGTTTAGTTTGTTTTTGTGGTGTGTGTGTGTGTGTGTGTGTGTGTGTGTGTGTGTGTGTATGTGTGTGTGGGGGCACATACAGAGGTCAATGTTGGGTGTCTTTCTCCAGTGTCTTTTTTACCTTTATTTTGAGACAGTGTCAGTCACTGAACCTGGAGCTTGATGATTTGCTAGACTTGATGGCCAGCAAGTGTGACGGGATGATAAGCACTCAGCAGATGTGGCTTTTATGTGAGCACTGAGGACTGTGCCAACTCTCTGGCCTCTATTTTTCTTATTTATACTCACTCTGTAATCACTCACTCTGAAACTCACTATGTAGCTTAGATTGGTCTTGAACTCAAAGCAGACCTCCTGTCCCAGAACTAGAGTGGAATGCTGGGACTGCCGGTGTGTGCCACCATTCTGGGACATTTAAATTCCTGACATGCTTCCTGGCCAGGACTGTATGGATCTTCATGGGAGAGATGACTTAATGAGACCTCCCTCAAGCTTGTTTCTTCTGTGTCCTCACAGCTGCAACCCTTGTCTGTGTACCAAATACCATGCCTAGAAAATGTTTGGTAACACAAATGTGTGCTATTTGGAGGATTCAGAAGCTGGGGTGTGATTGACATCCAGCTGTTTTGTGCCTGGGTGTAAAAATAGATGGTGGTGGTACCTACTGTCCTGCAGCCACCCATGAACAAGTCTAATCTAGTGTAGGCAACAGGCTCTTGTCTGCTTGTGCTGTCACCAACATCTTCTTCCCTTCTCCATGGTGGCATTCAGACAGGCCCTTGAAGTAACTTTTCAAGCATACCTAGGTGGGCATCTCAAGAATCACCAGATTTAAGGCACTGTGCCTACCTCATCTGAGCACAGTGAAATGGTGTGGTTAAGTACACTGGCAGTCCTTGTGAGGAAATGAACTCCTGTGTTGTCAGAGGCATCTGAAAACCACTTGACCTTCTCAGAACTTGAGATTTCCCCACGTGAGGGACAAGAGCCTGAAATAGACTTGCTTATTTTAACTTCAAAGAGCTTATTGTCTGGGCCAAAGTGAACCAGGCCACTGAGAGCCTGAGAACGGGGAGTTCACCATGGCTGCAGATGTAGAAGTTGAGCGTGCCCAAGGTGGTTCTATACATGCAGGTGCAGGCTGAGCCTAGAGCCCTGCTCTTTCCAGCACTGCGGTTTCTATTCCAAAAGTGAGTGCAGGGGTAGCCTGGGTCCCTGTAGGAACATTAGCCAAGTGTCCAGGCAGTCCAGACCCTTCCTCTAGCCACATGTTCTGGGAATAACATGAGCCCTCACTCTCCTAAGTAGACGATGCACTTCTGCATGGTCCCTGGAAATCCATCAAACGTGGAGCTTCATTTTTGCTTTCGCCTAACTGTAGGTGATAATTTTCCAAACGACTGTACTGGGAAGTGACATCATGTACAGTTAATAGCTCCGCTACTCAGGTATACACTGAAGTCATTTTTGGACCAATCATTTCAAGGTTCTCTTTTTGTTGTGTTTGGGGTGGAATGCAAGGCCTAGTATATCCTACGCCAAGCACTTGACCACTAAGCTACATGCCAGCCCTTAGATTCTTTGAAATAAAGTTGTAGGCCAGGGAATAAAGTATTTGGGGGACTTATGTTTTTTCTTTCATCTTGAAATCTCAATTTTACATATATATTTAATATCTAGGTATAGTTAAAACCATTAAAAATGTCTGAGAAATGTTTTCTTTGGGATTGTCTTCAACACTATGTACGTCTCAGGCTAAATTAATGCAAATATATTTTACACCTTAGAACACACATGATTAGGAACCACATGTCCACAGTCATTACCTTTAACAATAATTTAGATGTCTCAAAACAGAAAACTCAAATTGCCATTCCAGTACTGCCTGTGTGGACACAGAAGTCCTGTGTTGTATGTTCTGGGACCCTCACCTCACTGTCCTGTGGCCACACTCATTTTCATGTATGTTTTTAATATGCAAAGGTCATCTTCAGAATTTTTCTCTCTGCTACTCTTTTTATTGCTATTATTTTGTATTTTCCAGATTATCTTTTACTATGTTGCCTGGGCTACTCTCAAATTTCTGGGGTCCAAGTGATCCATCTGACTTGGCCTCTGAAATCACTGGACAGGCACGTGCCTGTCCTGGCTCAGACAGCTCTTTTAGAAGTCTCTGTGATCCACTAGCTGGACCTTAGTATACATGTGTGTGTTTTCTACCTGAACACTTTGGAAGATTCTAGAAGTTGGATAGTTGGGTGTGGTTCAGGTGTGCCATTCTGCCTCAACCAGCAAGTGCACTTATATTCACAGAGTCAGTGGGCAAAGACATCATGGCTGAAGTAAGAAATACCTGGCCAAGACTGATGATCATTACATTTGTGGTTCAAAAAGTCATCGATACGCCCACATATGAAATGCCTGCACACGAAACTTCATTTAGTTGAAATTCATATAATAAATAAAAGCCATACCTCATCACCATGAAACAGGCTTACGATTAGGCAGAAAGTTCTCATGGGTTGCAGTTAGGCCCTTAGTTTTTATACTTAGGTCTTAAATCGCCACATAAGAAATTTAAGCCCATGTCTGACATGTAGCTTATAAACTGTGGTGAGCTGCTGTCTCATTTGAAAGACTTTAATCACATTCTAACACCAGACTTCATTAAGATTTAACTGGGAACACATTTGGGAACTGAGGCACTTGCTTGCTGAAGCAAATGTGTGGTGCTGGTACCAATCCTCGGCCTCAAGCCTTGACATCATGGCCAGTTTTAGCAGCTTTGTGACAAACTGTGTCTCCTATGGGCAAGGAAGCACCAGTGTTCTACAAAGCAGGGGTCGTTAGGCCACATACACTTGATCCCAAGACATACAAGTGTGACGTTAGTGAGGTGGATACGGTACCTTCCTCAGGGACTGCTCTACCTCCTGGATGTGCAGGCCGCTGGTGGCTTTGCCATACTCCTGCTTCCGAATCAATCTGTTCTTCCAGTCTTCCTCGCCACTCTTCTTCAACAGCGCCAGCCTGGAAGGAAGACACAACAACGGAGAGTTCAGCACCACGCTCTAGGGACTTACAAGAACCTCTTTTCTAAGACGGTCCCAAAGATGTTTAGTTGGTTGGAAAGAAAAGTTGAAAATCGACTTGTCAGATAAAAGATGCTCCATCACCCCAGTAAAGGAGGATACAACTCTTGTTTTCCTCTTGCCCTGATGCTGAGAGATAGGGAAGAGAAAAAAAAGGAACTCTCCCCAGTGAAATGTCTTCTAGTGACCCCTTCTGGCCACTGGGTGAAATAACAATTGAAGATGAAAGCAGAAAACACTGAGGAAAAAGGGCTTAAAAACATAAAGAACAGGCATGCTTAATAGCAGAGGTAATTCCCAACAAAGTGACTTACACTTATGTCTGGAAATTTCATAATGGAACCCTGCTTCGTACAATAAATATACACTAATAAAAACAGTAATGGCATCTTGGTATCATACCACAACTCAAGGCAAACTATGATATCATCACTCTCTTCGATTCTTAGCCCTGGTCTTTCCCTGCTTAGATTAGCCCTGTCTTTGCAGTGTGTCCTTACACAAAAACACTACCTTATAAAAACCCATTTAAAAATTATTAGTTCAACTTTCTCCAAGGGAAAAAATATACCAAAAAAAGAATCTCATTAACAGAGACTGTTAGGAGCACACTTTAGCTCAGGCACCGCAGGAGTTTATCTAAAGCTGCTTGAACATTTGGTTCTCTCTGAAAAGTCATTTCCCAGAACAAGGGGCTATTTCAGACAGATATGCTATCATGAAGGAAAACGCCTCAGCCATGTGAGTTTGACAGAGAGGGACAGAAAAAAGGGCAAATAGGGCCTATGAGACTCACAGAGGATGGTGTTCAAACCATCAAAGATTGGGGGCAACGAAGAAAAGAGGCGACGAGGCTCCATTCCCTGTGCTTTCTGACCAGATATGCCTTTGACCACAATACATGACCCACAACAGTGGCTGCCAGGGCGTAGCGTGGGTGTGGCCATTGTTGTGGCTTGGACATGGAATGCCCTCACAGGCTCATGCATTTGAACTCTTGCTCCTCAGCTTTTACTGCTGTTTGGGGGGCTGTGGAACCTTTTGGATCTGAAGCAGAGCTGTAGGGATGGGGCTTGAGGTTTATAGACTGACCTCAGTACTGGCTTAAGCTCCCTGCTTCTTCTAAAGTATGAGCAAGCTATGCCCCAAGCTCTTGCTGCCATGGATGGCGGCTCCCTTTGCCCTGTCTTCCTCACCATGGTGAACTATATGCCCTGCTCTGCCCAGTTGCTTCTTGTCAGGGGTTCGGTCCCACCAATGACAACAGTGGTTAGCATAGCCATTATCACATTCACCCAGGCATACCATTCTCCTTGCCTTGTTTGTCATGCATTAGCTGAACATGGGGCTCTCCAAGGCCCCAAGTACTAAATTTCCTGATTCTATTCAATATCTGTATTGGAGGTTGGACGCCTTACACTCTGTGCTAAAAGCTTATTCACTCATTGGATGGTGCTTCTTGGATAGAATCCAAGCATGCTAGGCAAATGCTCTACTGGTGAGCCGAATATGATAAAAGAGTTTTTTGCTAAGCAAATAAGGAACTGAATTCTATATTAAACAAGGATTCATTATTTTTACAAATGCATGCATAATCATCTTTTATACTTTCTATCCCTCTATGAAATATGTAAACAAGCTCCGAAGAACTTCCTAAAGGATGCAGAGCTTTGAACTTCGGGTCTAGCCCCTCTTCAATCTCTCCCTTCTTTTCTAATCTCTCTGTGGCAGAAGATAAGACCACAAAAGGGCCAGTTCTATAATCTCATATGAGTTGTCTTATCAATCTAATGCAGGCTCACACAGCTCACACAAGGTGCCATTAAGACTCAACTTCTATAGTTCTACAATGCTAACATGGCTACTTCATGTATTAGAACACAAAATCTGAATTTCTTCATATGTTTTCATTTCAGTTCATATTAGGTAATGACTATTATTTATCCTGTCCCAATTATTTTCAATGTGCCCATTTATTGCAATAAGAAAGAGAATTTCAAAAAAATCAAATTATTAAAAAGAAATAATCATGCCTGTAAGATCTGAAAACATCAGAGAATAAGACTTCCAGCTAGTGAGCATGCCAGGCCCTTGCTCTGTCAAAGAGGGGCATTTCTGAGCCATCATCTGAAGAAGGCATCCACATATCACTTACCCTGGAAACTGTCCCAGAACCAGTTATTTATTCTCTTGCTTTCCCTCTGACCCAGAGCACGCATTCTTGGCCTTCACCTCAATCAGACTGGATTCTAAATGACATACAGAAGGCAAACCCTCACCTCAGAAGCAGAGACTGTTATAGACGATGTTGCCAGCAAGCAGCCTCTCTACAAAAGCATGGTTCCCCTTAGGGCTGCTCTGAGGGACAGGAGACTAATTCAGAAAAAGCAAACTGTGGAATTTCAAATCACTGTCATCTTCCTTATGCTCTTCTGACATGCACAGATGTTTTCAAGAACCTGCATCTTTTGTTCTCATCATACGGCGCAGGAATCCAGGGGCAGACAGTTGAAGTTTCTCTGAGCGAGGGCCTCTGGCATTTTGGTGGGAGAGGAGGTATAATTCTAAATCTTGTCTCTCTGAGTCCCAGTCATTTCCTTCCATGAGAAGTGGGTCTAAGCAGACACACAGTGCCTTTCTCTGCCAGGAAGAGCAAAGCTTTCCAGTTTTTTTTTTTGTGATGTTCTCCCAGTCCTTTGCAGGATGCTTTCTTTCCACAGAGCTATTCCATTCTAAGGCCCTGAAAACTTGCTTCTCCATATGCTGGCTCCTTTAACTTCCAAAGACTCCAGAATAACCAAAATAATATGGGAGAAACTGCTTCAGTTGAACCCACGTGGTACTTGGCCCAGCCCTTACTTCCACAGTACAAACGATGAATAACTTCATAATAGCCCACAGTGAATCTGAGTGCATTATCCCGTCCCTTCCGATTTCCTATTTGGTGTTCGACAAGCTGTGGAGGGTGGCGGATCTTTCTAGTCTTGTTCTCTACTCCGACAGTCTCATAGCCCTTCATCACCATTGCAAAGGGCTAAGGTCTGGGTCAACACATGACATAAATCCCCCCTGTGCAGTGCCAACAATTGTCAGCACTTTTAACATCTGCCAAGTCTGAGGGCTATTTGTGGGCTGTGATGTGGAGAGCTGGGGCATCTGAAGCTCCATACCCAGTGAGTGGCATAGTATTAGCCTGCTAAAATATTGGCCTGGCCCGGGGCCAACGGGACATGTGCTTACCAGGCCTCCGTGGGAGTGTCTATGACTCTTGCCACAGCCCACGCTCTTCAACAGGAATTCTGGCTGGAGAGCCTGCTGGACGAGGACAAGTTTTTCCAGGCTCACAACAGGGATAGGTCAAGCAAGGGTCAGGCAGACCACAAGCCCCTCATGTCAACTAAGGTATTTGTAATTCCTCTTTAGATGTTTACCTTATTTTCAGAAAAATAAAGGCACCCTTGAACTTCAGCTGAACTGAGCAGCGCTGATGAGTAATTGCATTAGATCCTGGCCTTAGCTAACGAGAAACTAGGCTCTTAGAAGATGGAGTCAGAAGTGCTGCCTGAGCCCAGGGATTGTGATCTTGCCAAGTGTAGTTAACATGCAGTTCTGAGTTAACTATTAGAAATAATAAGCTTGTCTGCATTTGGCTTTTATCAGTGCTGAAGACTGAACCCGGGACCTTGTACATCCAAACAAGAGCTCCACACAGAGCCCTGGCTCTATCCCCTTGTTAGGTTTCCTTTTTCTTTTCTTTCACATCTCTTTCTTTTCTCCTGATGTCATGTCGTGTGCAGGTGAGCCTGGGGTCTGCCTACCTTGTGAGCACTGGGGTGACTGACATGTGCCCCTGATCCCAGCGTCTACATTCATGCCAGGGACTCAAACTCAGTTCCTTAGACATGAGCAACAAGACTTCACCTGCTGAGCCATCTACCCAACCACTTGCTTTTTACTTATTTGAGCTTCTCTGGTGCTGAAGACTGGGGGCCTGGAACCTTGTAAATGCTAACCAAGCACTCTACAGCCAGCTGGACCTCCAGCCCTTCTCATCTATTAAGTGGAAGGTAGCTGTAGTTTGGGTACAGTGTGCCTCTTCTGTCATCATGGCAGTATCCTGAGCAGACCTTCAGTGGGTGAAGAGATACTCAAAGGGATTAATCCTTTTTTCCTGGGAGTGAGTTTATGCCCTGCACGCTGGATCAGTTACAAACGAGCTACCTGCAAAGCATGGCCACCTCGCAGTTTTGCTGCTCTGTGCATAGGTGTTCCCTTCTGTAAGCAGATACCATGTGTCCTTCAAAAGACCAATTAACAGTGGGAGTCAATCATTGAAAGTTGGTAGGACCACTAGGGGTCAGCCTCCCTCAACGCATCAAGGACTCCCTTGGTGGATTCAGGATTTAATGGCATTTTTTGGGGGTGGTAGATATTTCGGGGGGGGAGAGCTTCTAGTGAGCAAAAGTAGTCACTGGCAGTGTTCCCAGGGACAGTGTTTTGTCTCCATGCCCTTCCTGCTGGCTCTGTGCCTCTGGGTGTGCAGGAGCATCAGGGCTAGCCAACATAAATCTCTTCTCCTTCAAACTGGGTTTCCCAGGTTGTTGTCACAGAAAGGAAAGGTCTGACTGACTCAGCCCGACCTTCCTCCATGTTCTAAGGTGTCATGAGGCCCCTTTCCCTGGTGTGGCTGCCAAAGTTAGCCTTTAATTTTCCCAGAACTGTGAGCCAAAGTATATTGTTTTGCTTTTCAAATTACTCAACTGTAGATATTCCTTGCAGCATCAGACCTGAGAGGCTGAGTCAGGGACAGATAAATGGAGATGGGACCTCTCTATCTTACAGCAATCCGAGGGCTCACTGATACCTGAAATCTCCCAGCTCAAAGTCTGAACCCGGAGTTTGTTGTGGGGGGGCATGGATATAGGCTGCGTGGGGTGCGGAGGACCAATGGTTGGGCACTCAGAGCACAGAACTTGACATAGCCCAGTCCTTAGTACATGAGCGACCCAAGCAGTGAGCAGGACTCATGACAAAGTCTCTGCTCCTCACTGCAGACTCTCGAATCTGAAGGGGAAAGTGTAATTTGAAGCAAATCAAGTAAAGAATGTGTGAGCAGAACTGGGCATAATGACACAGTGACTCTAAGTTCCAGGCTCTTAGAAGATGGAGTCAGGAGTGCTGCCTGAGCCCAGGGATTGTGATCTTGCCAAGTGTAGTTAACATGCAGTTCTGAGGGTGCTGGAACTAAGTCCCTCCTGTGGTAAGTCAAGGCAGGCAGAATAGCTGGGTTAAGTAAGGTTTGAAAGATCTAGAATTTTATATGTCACCCCAGGAAAGAAAAGCAATGTCCAAATAAATGTTTGAACAACACCTATTGTCTTACATTTTTGGTTGTGAGCCTAGTCTTTAACGGCTAAGCCATCTCTCCAGCCCTATGCCCCTATTCTCAATAGGTCAAGCTTCACATTTAACAAAGAGAAGGATCAGAGCCCTCACTCTGGGGACCGTCTCATGTGAATGGTAAAGGCAGACACGTAGGTATATTCAGGGATGCACACACAAAAGTACCATCAAGGCACAGGAGAGATAGTTCCTATAGATGGGTGAGACATATCATATAGATATAGTTTATGATAGCAAACGTAATTGCTAAATTAAGGGACATTGACCTTTAAAAAAGCATATGTTAACAATGAAATGAAGGCGCTGAACATTTAGCAAGCATTCCTGACAGGATTTTGAACAGGAACCTCTCTGAGAGATTTTGGCTCTGCCTAGGTGATAGGTGCATGCTACCTTTACCCCACATGTGGACTCATTCCAGACAGTTCACTGAAGCCCCACAGGTATCTTTTAACTTCACCACAAGGCCCGGTTAAAAGGCTGTGCTCCACAGTCGTTCAGCTTTAAACAGAGCAGTGTGCCCTCAGGGTAAAACTCAGAGAAAGAGACAGATGAAACAGGACTCACTGAAAACAAGCAGGTGAATCAAGAAACCCCACAGCTAAAGCCTATAAAATTTCAGGGCTGGAGTTGCAGCTCAGTGGTAACATGCTTGCCTAGTGGGTACAAGACCCTGGGTGAGATCTCTGCATGGGAGTGAGGGAAGGAAGGAGGATGCAGGGACGGGAGGAAGGAGAGGAGAGAGGGTGAGAAGGAAGGAAGGGAGGGAGGGAGGGAGAGAGGGAGGGAGGAAGGAAAAAGTTTCTAAATGTTGCCTGATGGAATGGCTTAGCCAGTAAAGGTGCCTGGTGTCAAGCCCAGCAACCTGAGCTCAATCCCAGAACCTACATAATGGAAGGGAAGAAGTGATTTCTGCAAGTTGTCCACTGACTTCCATGCATAATCTGTGGCACACATGTAAGTACACACACACACACAGACACATACACACACATGCAAACACACACACAAGTAAATATAAGAAAAAAATTAGAAAAAAAGTAATTCATCTTATTTCCTGTAAAACATACCAAACTTAGATTCTAATCTCAAAGATCTCCTATGTGAATCTATTTTGTCCTTTATTTATTTAACCTAGGCAGTCAGAGGATGATTGGATCTGCAGTTTGAAACTGTGTTTCTGTAGGAGAAACAGGAGAGATCTAAGCTCCCAGAGAACTGGATATGAAATAAGAAACAGGGACCACAGACAAATGATGTATCCCTGTTCATTCTCCTCCCAAGTCTGGACTGGACATCTCTCAACTTTGCTAAATTAGGTGTCACTCATGTACATATGCCTTGGCTTCCTGGGGTTGTCCTAGCATCCTGCATCCTGGTGCAGCAAGTCTGTATCCCTCCCCAATACTGCCTGTCAATCACCAGAGGGGCTTACTTACCTTTCTTTGATTGACATGGTTTTGCTGGGTGAATCCAGGAAAGTCTCTCCCACTGGCACTTTGACCTCTCCTGTAGCAAACATGGCACAGGGGTTCTTGAAGAGCTTCTCTGCTAGCTGTTCAGAGGAATCCTGCTGCTTCCAGGACCCTGAGGTTGCCGTCTGAATAGATGCTTTCCCAGAAGCCAGCTCTGTCTGCTCAGAAGAAGGCTCTCCAAACTCTGCTGCTGGAGAAGAGAGTGAGCACAGTCAGCATCACTCCCCCAGCAAGCACCTTCCCAGCTGTTCACGGCCCCACAGTGCAGCAGCACCCGAGTCAGTATCACTCCCCCAGAAAGCATCTTTCCAGCTGCACACCCAAATCAGACTGTGGGTTCATGGCAGGCTACCCAGGCCATTGAGGTTCATGAAGATTTGTAGTGCAACTTGCTGAGAGAAACAGCTAGCTTGTGTAAGCTGTGTTGCACAATGGAATTGACCTCTCTTATACAGTACTCCTCATTTCTAGTGCATTGCACTTACAACCCAAGCCCATCTCAGCATACATGCTATCAAGGTGTGTGAATGGAAGCTGCCTGGTCTACACCAGGCACCAAACTGTATGGTCAGAATGCATGCAGAGTCTGGAAAGCATACTGGTTCAAGTCCTTAATCCCTGTGCTGCCTGGGTGCAGGATTTTTGTGCCATCAACTTAATAAAAGGGGCCAGCCAGCTAAGGAGCTCAGAAGGCTACTGTGTGAGTTAATGTCACCGGTTACCCGAAACCCTTATCAAGGGCTCTTAAGAGCTGCAGCCAATTTGCTGTTGTAGACTGTCAGTTCACTGACTGCATCAGGTTCAAGGAGAAGAGAGGTCTGGGGAGAGGAGGATGACTCACTGAACTTCGATCCATTCTAGTGATAAACCCTCTCTTGGTGTAGTGAACAGGAACCAACAGGACCACACACAGCAAGTCCATCAGACCACAGAACCCTTAGGAAGCCAGAAGCCGCATGACCTTACCTTTGAGTGAGAACTTTCTCATGACAGTCTCCACATCTACGTCCTCCTCTGAGGTCTGCTTGTCCTTCAGGTCTAGATTCTCTTGCAAACTGCTTTTAGCAGTGGAAGATTCCTTCAGCTCATCGTCAAGGTGACAGACAGGAGGATTACCTAGTTCTAAGCTTCCCCTCCTTAGAATGGCGTGCTTAGGCTCCTTCTGGCCATCGCTCTCTCTGACTTTGCCAAGGATGGGGTAGGAGGGCTCGGCTTCCTCCTCAAAGGCTCTGTATGATTGAACAGCACTGTCTACCGCAGTCAGAGTGCTCTTGCTTTCTGTCTCTCCAGACTCCCCCAGCATTCCTTTGCTCCCACTGGGCTCTGCCAAAGGCCGCCAGGCTTGTGGTTTCAGAATGCTTTTTACTGGAGAGTCTGCATTTTCCACGGGAGAAGGAAACTTATAGTCAGTGGTACTCGCACCATCGTCAGCAGACGGCTTCGTCCGAAGGTCCCCTGCATATGTTGGAGCAACTGCAGAGGCCATGGTAGAAACAGATGTGTTCACAGTGGGGGAGAAAGAGATGAGCTTCCCACTCTGCACCTGGAAGGATACAGTTTAGGGGCATCATCATCTGGGAACTGGCACGGGTGGGCATAATACACCTGTAGCACAGCTTCCCAATTCATCTTACTGGAAAACCTAATCACAAACAAACCTTCCGGGGAAGCAGCTTGCCCCTTCCAAAATGGACTCATTCCAAGCAAGTTATGAAAACAACAAGAAAAGCAAACTTGGGTATGGTTCTTCCCTAGGGATAAGAAGGTAAAGTCACGTATAAGTTCACCTATTGACCCTGTCCCAAAAGCAGTACTGTGGTGCTGTATTCAGATAACACACACACACACACACACACACACACACACACACACACACACACACACACACACACACACACACACCTCACACTAGAGTTGGATCTCACACACTCACCTGTTCCACCTCTCCAAGTGTGACCGGCTGAGTTTGATACCTTGCGTTCATCCTTCTCTGTCGCACATCTATTCTGTTTCTGGTGGAAATGGCTTTGGAGACTGGCTGGGACAATTTGTTAAACAAGGCCAATTTCTCTGCTAAGCTCAGAGTGGAGGAATCAGGTTCGCCTGGTTCAGCAGACTCTCTGCCCTCATTTGCCTGGCCCCTGGCTAAAGCCTTTTGGTGAGCCTGTAACCTAGAGGGAGGGAAGGAAAATTCAGTCATCTAGACAAAAGCAGACAAAAGCCCACTATAATTCATTTGTTAACTGTCCTAAGAATGTCACTTATTTTTTGGAAAGGGTTGGTTTTCCCTATATGGAATTGGGAGAGGGGCAGGCAACTGTTTAGCTAGTAAACAAGACAGTGAGAAGCAAGCAGGGTCAGCTTGGAATACCAGCACCACCAGTTCTAGGACAGGCAGACCTTTAGCTCTGAATCATTTCTATAAAGGAAATTTCCTGTTGAAGGAACCAATGTCAGCCTGGATCTAGCTTCCTACAGAGAAATCTCAGATGGTTCCTATCATAGGGACTAAAGGTAAAGACAGAAAGTCATTACCTGGGTCAAACATCCTCTACAGATGCAGCTGGGGAGGTGGTACCCTCATTTTGAATGGTTAGGAACAATATGGTCTCCTGACCGAGACATACTCTGCAAAGTAGGGGTTTGTTTGCCAAATGTGTGGTTTTTAAATATACTTCTCTCCAAGGTTTCTACCAATTTCAGAAGTTACTTACATTTAATTTCAAGTTATTAAACATCCCCCAAACCCTGACTGGGACTACAGAGGCAGAGCAGTGGTAGTAAAGCTCCTGCTTAGCTTGTGCAAAGCCCTGGGTTCAATACTCAGTCCCACAAAACAACAACAACAATAGTAGTAACAATAGCTTCCACTCATTAGGGAGAGGAGGCTTCCAGCCCAGGAGATCAGCCCGAATCCCAGAAGGTCTCCAAGACAATATTGACTCTGCCTCGGCAACACTCCCTTCTACTAAGGGTACTCAGCCTTTACTCCATTAATCACTGACCCCAGGCAGTCCTAGACCAGAGGCCAGTCTCTGTCTCCAGATATATCATGAGGGCAGTGAACGAGAGGGTGAGCGAGCGAGGTTGCCTGAGGACTGGAACCTTCCAGGGATTCAAGAGTACAAACTGAGAGGGCCAAAAAAAAATCTTTCTCAAGACAGCCCTGCTTTTGGATTACGCCAGTTTACTTTAGCTCTGTTATGTTACATCTCTGAGTCTTACTTTTAGCTTGTGTGTTTTGGCTCATCACAGTTAAGACAAAGGGGATATTTATGTGGTTTAAGAACATAATTTTTAAAAACACCACAATTTAAAGCTGAATCCCATTGTGTCTACAACCAGTCCTTAAATCTAATGGCACTGCCTCTCCTGTCTTCAAATTAGTAAAAAGGAGTATTTGGTTTTAGTATGGATTTATGAGTATACATATTCAAAAATAATTAGATCTTATCAACATTTCAATATCCATGTTAATGCTCCATTTTTAAATTAGTCTTTAACTGTAAGTGTTTTAGAAGAAAACTAAAGATTTTATGTTAAAAAAGATGCATAAGTGAGTTAGTATGATCCTAGTATCAACACAGGAAGCAGGCAGATGGACTTCAAGTTTCTCACACAGTCATGAAATTAACGGTACCTCGCACTATGACAGGACAAAACATCAAACATTTCAGGGACACTCACTGCACTGACTTGTTTGTCAAACAAATGAAAGGCATTCAAGGCTTCCAGATGCATCTGCTGCCCAGCACCTTGGCGCTGGGTGCTACATGCAGCTATGTGTGTCCGGTACCTGGCAGGCTGCACAGTGCTTCTAGCTACAGTGGGGCTAGGAAGTCTCGCCATTACAGGGTGGGTGACCCCAGAACACGAAGCAGGGATAGGTTCACTTTAAAAGCAATGGCCAAAGGAGGAGCATTCATGAGGAGAGAGAAGAAAAGAGGCATTAAGGAAGGCATAGCTGCAAATCCAGAAATGCAAAAACCAAATATTTTACCAAAAATATTTGCTAAACACTTTGAGGGCAAACACATCACAAAAGGACTTGGGAAAGCAATACAGACAGAGGGAACAAGAGGCAGAGGCTGTCCAGAGTAAATGGGACAAGCAGAGGCGTAGGACTGAAAAGGAGTCAACTTAGAACAAACAGCCTCATTTAACGAAGTCATTTCAAAAGCTAGTGTCAACCACAGCCAGTCAGGGGATTCCAGCCACAGTTTAGAATGGTCTTCTCAGTATAGTTTTTAGAAGCACCGGTGGCCCTGTCAATCAATAAACTCATCAAAGTAGACCCACTGAGCCATGCCAGCCCATTACTTCCCCCTCCCTGATTGCTTTGCTTCCACACGGATGGCTGTTTCACAGTGTTTACCAGCCAGTCCAAGAAATTACTTTTTAAACCAATGGATATGCCAGTAGATAGATGTGCCTGTCTATGAACATATCGAGAAAACAACGAGCCTAGGAGAAAACAACGAGCCTAGGCTGGGATGTAGCTGGGTGGTAGAGCACTTGTCCAGCATGCACAGAGGGTGTGAACCCCAGGATTGTTACAATCAAAGTGAAGGCTGGCAACCTCACAGCAGGTTCCAATAGCAAGCCTGCAGACAGAGGTTCTTGGGGATGTCAACACCCCACAGAAATGTTTTTTCAAAACAAATAAGTAGTCTCAGTTGTCTGGAGCTGTTAACTTTGTATGAACCAGTCAAGGCAATTTGAGCACACCTGAGCAAACTGCCCAAATGCAGGCCTCCTGTGGTTTGCAAAGTGTTCAACTGCCAATTAGTTTTTAGACACTTTGGTGATGGTTTAAAAAACAACACAAATGCTTATCTCTTAGAGGTATGCACTAAAATATTTAAGGCTGAAATGTCTGGGATGTGGTTGAAGATAATGCATTTGGAGACAGACTACCTAGGGGCTGATAGCCATGAAGCTGGGGTTCACTATAGTTCACCCCCTTTCATGTTTTATATTTTCGTTGTGCAAGATCAAACACAAGGGCATAAATGCTTCAGAGGTAACCCCAGGAACTACATCCCATTACTGCTAAACAGCAGAAAAATCAAAACAAAAAATAAGTATAAAACATGTTCCTCTCTACGGCTCCCTTTAAATATGTCAGCACAGGCCAGGCTAAGAACTTCCCCAGAGACGCACGTGGCTGCGATGACCACTTCCTCCGTGGTGATGGGCTGGGTGTGAGAGCGGTCCTGTAGGCGGCGCAGCCTTTGCTCCACAGCCGAGTTTCTGGAACGTCTCTTTGGGACGTTGTGTTCATCAAATGATTTCTCCATTTCCTGCAGTTAGAAAACATCGTAGAATCCCCGTGAATTCAAAGAAACAACAACAACAAGGTGATTGCTGCTCTTCTGAAGGCTCCATAGGAGGGACACCAAGGAGAGGACCCTGCCTGCCATCAGAGTGAACACTCCGGCCTGGAGCAGCTGGGTGGCCAAACCTGTCAAAGCAGACCCTGAAGCCTGGTTCTAGATGGTCTGTGTTAAAGCCTTAGTCCCCAGCTTGTTACTGGTGGAGCAGAAGAGGCGGGGCTGAGAGGAAGGCCACCCCCACCCCCAAAGATCCCAGAATCCTGCCACTTCCTCTCTTTTACGTTCTTGCCAGCAGGTGATGAGCAGCTTCCTCCACCATCTGACACCCCTGTGAGAGAGCACTGCCTCATCACAGGACCAAAGCAGGCGGGCCGGCTATCGTAGAGCAGAACCTCTGAAGTACTGTGCCAAGATAAACTTTTCCTTTTTAGAAGATGTGATAGTCTCAGCTATTCTGTTCCAGTAAAGGGACACTGACTAACTAGGCACAGGAAGAGAGCAACAGGTATGAAAGACAGGAGGACACTGAAGCTCCCAGGAGTGTGTGAAGTTCCTCGGCAGGAATTAGGGTTTCTAAGCAAACCATCTGGCACACCTTACCCTGAAAAGCAGTCTCTTGGCAGCGACACTCAGCTTGGCCCGTTCATCTACCTTTTCTTCATCTGTAAAAAACCACCAGAGAAAAATTGACCATCATTTGAAAGCACAGGCATCCTCTTTAAAATGCTTTTCAAGACTGACCTGGCAATCCCTCGAATCCAAGAGGAGGTGAACTGACTTCACAAATGAGAAGTCTCACCTCACGAGGAGCTCATGCTTTCTCATCGCAATTCAAACCAAAATGTGTCCAGACGATGATGTTTTTTGTAAGAGTCTGACTAAGAGGATGTAAGAAGGGACCTTAGGAACAGACTGCCTTGCAGTCACCAGTGAAATCCTCTTCTGTAATCACAGTGGCTATTTCCTATTGCTCACTGAACAAGCCTCTTGATTTCTAGTGGAAGGCTAATCTGAAATTTTCACCTAGGGTTCACAGCAAGGCATTTTGGAAGAAAACAAGAACCTGATAGGCTCTGGTTTCATCTCCTGAAAATCCCAAATCTTAGGTCTTAAATCTAATCTGGACAAGTTGTGGAGGAATAACATGAAAAGAGATACTTGCCCTCAACCATTGGCACCTCTGAACCCGAAGGGTACCTAGGAGAGACAGGAACAGATAATGACGATGATTAGTGGTAGGCACACCAGCTACACTTGAAACACGCTACAAGTGAACTATCTTAAAGACTTGGCTGGGACCACAGACAGTTGTTAGCTGACACTGTGGAGCATGTACACACAACCCAGCCTGGTGCACACTGTGTGAAGAAAAAGTACTGACAAGAAGTTATTACGTGGGACTAAGGGCACATTTCTGGTGAACCTTATGATTTCTATACATTAGCATATGATGGCATCATACAAAGATATCATGGAAATATAAAGCATGAGCTGTTTATAAGATGAATATAAAATCCCTTATGCCCAATGGCGGATGCTCAATTCAGAGCCTGGTTTAATGAAAGTACTGACTGAAGAAAAGTGTTTCTCCTCACCTGATCTGTGGGCAGTTCAACACTGTAGAGGATATCAGGTAGAAACAAGTGACATTCTTTGGAAATACATTTCCATAAATAAAACAAGTATCCTTACGGCTGAGATGGAATAATCCTGGAATCCTATGCAAAGAGCATCAGGCCCAGCAGGGTAGTGAGAACCCCAGTGCTTGAGTTGCTGCAAGTATACACACATGCCTACCTATCCGACTCCTTTCGCTCTGCTGAAGTTATAGGTTGAGTTCTAAATCGCTCAGAAGTTTTCCTATTTTCACCAGGAGAAAGATAGCGCCTTGGTTTCCGGGACCCTCTCTCCCGTTCGGTGGGCAAGCCAATTCCTTCAGCTGATCTCTCAACCCGGGATTGGCTTTTAGGACCACAAAACATCGAGTGCAAAACAGGGAGAAGAAGAGAAAAGGGGAGAGGGAGAGGGACAGGGAGAGGGAGAGACACAGAGAGAGAGAGAGAGAGAGAGAGAACAGAGGAAAGGCTTATGCATCTCAGTGAAAGACACAGTGCTAGGTTCTACATGCTGCTACCATGCGCATCACATCTGCAGGTGGAACATTCCAGAGGCCCAACCCTCCAGATCCCAATTAGTAGGCAGAAGCAGAATGGTAGTGTATGAGCCATTTCCTGTACACTCTGCCCTGCACACACTTGTGAGCTAAGCTAACAGGACACACCACGGGTGGAGAAGTGAATTGTCTGCCAAAGACGTGCAAGTGACATATCGGAAGGATGTTGGGAACATCACCTACAGTTCAGGTTTCTTGCTGGCTCTGGCTGACTCCAGAAACACACTTCGGAGCTGGGTGACGGAGACTCTGGTGTCCAGCATGCTAGCTTCTGCACCAGGCCCTTCTGCCCTGGAACTCTGCAGCTCCAGCTCCTGGTTTAGGGCTGCATCCTTGTGTCTGGGGGCTTGGAGCTGGGGGGGACCCGTATAATCCGACAGGGAGCGGGCCAGGACTTTGCGCTTTTTTGGAGAGGCCTCTTTTGTGTGACTGGTCAATGTGGCATCTTGGTATACAGGACCACTCTGAACATAAAGAACCATTTCACTCCGGCCAGTTCTCTGAGTGGGCTGGTGTTGAATTCGCCGTTCCCTTGTAGGTTCTGCAGCGATGGAGCGAACAGTGGACTCATCTAAATCTTCATTATCAGGGGGGTCTTCGTGGCTTCTCACCAGCCTGTCATCTTGCAAGGCCAAGAGTGGTTTGGGGCTCCTCTCCAAAGTTTCAGGGGCTTTTGATTCACAAATACTCAGCCCTGGAGCATCCCTTGACCCACCTTCTAGAATCTTCAAGGTAGTAGATTTTATGACACTTGGGGTGGTTGAATCTACCCAATCGCATTCAGATGTGCTTTCTGGCGTGTCCACGGTCACCAGCTTTACGGCATGAACAGGGTCAGCTGGCAGGACACAGCTTCGGCTTGGCCGTAGTGAGCTCACTACCTTGCTGGTGACCCTATCGAAGGCGGAGCTTTCTGAATGGATAGACAGGAAATGCGCAGGTCCTGGCGGCTGCCTCCTCTGAGTTAAGGACTCTGAGGTGAGTTCAGGGCTGCTGCGCGCACTTTCCTCTTTCACCAATTTTTCTCTAACTTTAACTCTTAAGAAAAAAATAGGATTTATGTTGTGATGTGTAAATCACCGAAGGGGAAGGAAGCATGCACAGACCATGGATGGCCTTGGAGCCAATGCAGAGAGCACAATGTGTGGAAATGCATTTGGGCATTGAACACAGACACCTAGTGCTTGCCAGTTAAATGGAGTGAAATCTCCAAATTTGCATTCATATTCTAGTGTGGGCCAAAAGTCTCCCTGCCCAGTTAAGTTGAGAGTCACATGCTGTTTGTTCTGAGAGAAAATGGGCTCATTCTAATGAACTATCTAGCACCCCAGAACGCTGCATTCATACATACCACTGTAAGCATTAGTGTACAGGAGGCAATGCCTAGGTCAGGACTCTGTACCAGTCCAGACCCAGGTGTGGTCTGGCGGGGGGGCTGGGAAGGCTGGCTGCGACAAGGGAAACACATACTTTAGGAGGAGACACAGCCACTTACTGCCCACTGGATATGTGGGCATTTGTGATTACTTCCGCTTCCAACTGAGCTACATTACTTAGTTACTTCTTGAAGCACTATGTACATACTCCCAGGCTTTGGCTGCTAAGCTGACTATGTCATCTGAACCCAAGACACGGCCAGGCCAGTTTGGATGTCATTACTCACAAGCACACCACCACAGGAATGTTAGGAAGAAGGCATTTGTTAAGCGAATTGTGAGCCTTTAGCTCCCTCCCATTGATGCTGCTCTTTCAGTAAAAACTAACTTAAGGAAGGATTGGTTTTTTTTTTTGTTTGTTTGTTTCTGATTTTTAAATCTTTGACAGCAAAACTGAAAAAGATGTCAAAAGTTACTGACAGTCCCCATCTCTACAGAAGCCAGCTAACCAAGAACCCTGGCTGGGGGACCTTACCTGCCCTTCCCAGACCTCAGTGCTCTCTGCCTTTAAAATGAAAACTGGGCTGGGTAGGGAGTCAGGATGCTGCCTTGAATGTGTGAATTTGGTCCCCACCACAGAGGAAGAAAAGACTAGTGACATAAGGTAAGGAGGTTTTTGTAGAACACATGCCTTCCTACTTAGCAAAGATGACACTCGACAGCATAAGCACCCATTATGCGACATTTTGAAAGACCGCTTGGTGTAGTGCAAATGGGAAACCATTGACCTGAGATGGATTGCTGACCAGGTCCAACTCTCAGAAAGTACACACAGCTTTGGGGATAGGAGGAGGGATTCCTTGGGAAAAATGTAAAAGTCTCATTTCACTTAGGTGAGTGAGCAAAAGTGACTGCTTCTCATATACACATTATAGAATGCTTAGGCTCTATCCAATTCATACAATATGCTTTGTTTTCAAAGAGCCACCAGCACACCTCCTTGAGGAAACACCAGACACACATAAAGGTAGTTACTGTGGGTGTTTGGAAAAAGCACTCAGAGCTGTTGCTTCTCTGAGACGAGGCGGCAGGGGAGGACACTGCTCGAAGACTGAGCTGCAGTCAGACTCCGCTGTGCTATGCATGCTCCTTATCTGAAGCCATCTCAAGAGAACAACATCTCAGTCAGAAACTCAATACATGGGACCTTTGTCTGGCCAGTGACTTGCTCATTCTTAATTTTTCCGCCTCTTCTATCATGAAATGATGGAAGTATCTGCTATTAGGCCACATGCCCTACATTTAATCATTGAAAACTAGTGATTTAGAAACAAGCAAACTGAAGCCGGTGCAGAAAAGGGATGTGGGCAGGGTAGGATGGCCTGGAGGAGGTGCTCATTACTGCCCCCTGTTGGCCAGTTCTGAAGTGAGTTGGCGAGACAGTGAGCAAGCAAGCAAGGTAGTGTGTGAAGACAGAGACAAGTGAACCAGGAAGGAGAAAAAGTGTCAATGTGGACAGGGCAACCTGGAGACACGCATGACAAGGAAGCAGCTTATTTTTGAAAGCATGGTTTTCAGAGGCATTGCAAAGAGGGAGAGGAGCACGAGCGTCAGTTAAGTGTGGCAGAGCAAGGAGAGGTGACGGGAGTAGGAAGACATTCACCATGCATCAGCCACACACTTCCAACCTGGGATGTACCTGGAAGGCCAGTTGATAAGTGAAGGTGTATCCCCTTCGGCATCTTTTTGCAGAAACCACTCATGGGTGGCCTTCCCTGTACTACCATGCACAAGAAACAAAACTTCAGGACATTGCAATTAAAATGCTGATGCCCACGCCCACATCATTTTACTATAAGCAAAACCCAAAGGTTGCTTTTAGTTAAGATGCTCAAGCTGGCTATTGAAAAGACATACTGTACAAGGTGCCTTTAGAGTTTACATTTCTTGGAATTTTTTGGTCATTTGGCTCACCATGGAAAACAAGAAGTGAAAAATAAATAAATCTAAGGTCACTAGAGAAAATGGGTTTTAGTCACTGACATGAGTCTGTTGTAGTCATACTCTACACTTATGAGAAGTTGGAATTAACATACAAGGCAACTTAACTTCCGTAAGTTTCACTGAGGCACACAGGCAAACAGACAAATGTAAAAAGTGTCCATGCAAACAGATACACACCAAACGAAGGAATAAAAGAAACTTGGTGAGAGTGACTCTTACACATTTCCCTTGTTACAATGTCAATTTGTAACCCGGGTCAACAATCAGACAAATGTTTATTTAACTCCTATTAGGTATAAAGTACAGCATTAAAGACTATGAGAGGTAAAACAGGCAACAGAGCGAAAAGGGCTTCATCCTAATCATGAAAATTCTTGTATACCATTAAGATAGCATACCACCACAACAGACAAAGTTATTAACCCATTAGGTATAAAGACAGCATTAAAGCAGAGAGGAAAACAGGGAAAAGAGGGAAAGGGGCTCCAATCCTACTGACGAACCAATAAGATAGCATCCAACTACACAATCAGACAAATGTTTATTTAACTCCTATTAGGTATAAAGTACAGCATTAAAGACTATGAGAGGTAAAACAGGCAACAGAGTGAAAAGGGCTTCATCCTAATCATGAAAATTCTTGTATCCCATTAAGATAGCATCCAACTTACACATTTGCCCCTTAACACCCAGATACAATGCAAGGCAAAATATATCAGAGTCATTACGAACAAGCTGAGATACTTTTGATAAAAACTATAGGCATGGAAAGCCTGCTAATTTAAAGTAGCTACAGGAAGAATAACCATACCACAGACTGTGTCTTCTTACGATTTAAAAAGAAAACACGGAAAGCCTCCCCTGAATTCATGCAATAGCCATGGATGAACTTGAATGGCTGTTACTCTTTCCTCAACCTTCCCAGTCCAGGGATTACAGGCATGAACCACCACTGCACAAACCACTTCATGCTGTGCTGGGGATTGAACCCAGGCTTTATGTGCACTAGACAAGCACTCTACCAACTGAGCTTCATTCTCCAGACTTAAATTTTATTTGGGGGACTTTGGGAGACTCTGTCTTGCAGAGGCCACCTCCACTGGGAAAGGACTGTGGAGTCACTGGGGGCAGAACAAGGAAGCAGTAACTCTGGATCAATGGATTAGCCTTTGAATGTGGTTGGCCAGTGGAGATCTGTATGCCCAGGAAGAACTTCCCATCTGTAGCCAGCCAGAGCTACCCAGTGAGACACTGTTTCAAAAGTAAAAGAAAATAAACAAAACCTTGGTGACAGCAAAGGCTCACCAGCTCTGATTATAGAAGGGTGGCCGGATTCTGTCACATCGTTCAGTTTAGTCAACTGATGAGTCACCTATGTGAGAGACTGCTGCTTTGCACACAAGTGTGGGTACAGCAATGGTCAGAACCCAAAGCTAGATTAGCTCTGAGAAGTAACATAGATGAGGCAGGCCATCAAACACTGGCACTGTAGCAGGTAAGAAAGATATGTATGGCTGTAGCCCCAGCCCTCCGGAGGCCAAAATAGGTAGGTCTCTACAAGGTCTCAAGGTCAGCCTGATCTACACAGGGACTGTTACCCTGTCTCGGGGCAAGGGGTATGATTTACTTGTGCCCAGGTACCCAAGGCCAGCCCTGTTCAGACTATAAGTCACCAAAGGTTAACTCTTCTAAGGTCAAGTTTCAGCTCTGCTCTCCACGACATGTCCACTTCTGGGTTCAAGCCACTAAGGACATAATCTGGGAGACAAAGTGCTGGAGAGGGACTGGGGAGCTGTGGTGAGGAGGTAATGAACAAAACTCTCCCAGAGTGTCAGCTCTGAGAATAGGTTGTCAAGTTGAATTTCCTTCTCCTTTTTAGTTACACAACACACATAGGTGACAGCTGATGCTCAGGCACATGGCCTCTGGGGACCCCAGGATGGGAGCGTCTGCATTTCCCCTCATAGAAAGATAAGCATGCACTTCTTTCCGTCTGCCTGTCTGTCTGTCAATAAGAAAATAAGTGCTGCATAAAGGATTAAACAAGAGTTTGGGATTTAGGACTTTGTTAGGAGCAGGAGTCCGTATTTCTTAAGGCTGAGCAATCCACAGGATTATCTACCACACTGATAATAATATTTCTGGTTAAAGGTATTGGCACTTTTGTTTCCAAACTCACCCTTGCCAAATTCACAAGCAATAGATTATCTTGGGAATAGCCTTCTTCAGATGATGTAAAACTTAAAATTCCAAGGGTTTGGAAAGATCTGAACAGTGAGGCTGGGCCTCAATTCCCAAGCACGGGATGAGATGAGCTAAGGACCCTACAACATCCATCCCTCTATCCAACATTTAATTAGAAAACCTTCTCAATCATTTTAAGGAATACTAACAACTTCTAAAACAAATATATATTGCCCCAAACTGTTATTTCATTAGTAATATTTCACATTGTTCCCACACAAGGAAATAACATTAAACAGTTGTCATAAGAAAATCTGAGATTAGGTTCTTCATTTTCTTGGATGGACCTATTTTTTATTCTAGGTCAGCACATGCTGAGTTTCTTTGTTCTGCACACGAATCATGTGAAGAGGGTCAGCTGGCAAAGCAGCTAGGTAGGTAACGGTATTTGCCACCAAGCTTGACCTGAGTTTAATCACCAGGTCCCACATGGTAGGAGAGAACAGACTCCTGCAAGTTGTCCTTTGACCTTTCACAAGCACAACACACTGCGCTACAAATGCACACATTCACACATATGCATACACAATAAAAAATTAAATGTAATAGTAAAAAATATGTACATGATTTCCTTTTATATAATTAGCTAAACAGAACACAGCACCCCTATTAAATGAAATGTGCACTTCTAGGCAAGACACCCCTCTTTAAAATATGAGGGGATGGGTTACTCTCTTTCTCAGCATCAAGTACTTTGGTTCTAAGGCTGAACAAATGGCTTCAAAAGATCTCCTTATGGAATCTAATTATCTCAGAGGCTGGTATCTAAGCATCTGGGTCCACATGACAGGCTTGGGGCTTCTAAAATGTTAGCACCTGAAATGTTTGCCGTGGTTGCATCATTACCAGGTAAGAGGGAGTAGATGTTTACTACTATATTCCAGTGAACGTAACAAAAGATGCTCCCAACATGTACTTAAAAACAATAAGTACATGTTCATATATGTGTGTATACATATATCCATGTGTCACACACAACTGTTTCCCCTGAGTAAATTTACGTGACTCCAGGTTCCCAGCCTTTCTGAACACTCATAAAGCTGTTGCTTGTTTGAATTGAAGAGGGTGGCCAGCTTCTAGCTCTGTGTAGAACTTGTTGGGATACTGTATAAATTACAGTGAGTGGGGAAGGTGGAGACCTCTGAGATAGCCAAGGCAGAACAAACAGTCAGGGCTTACCTGGCACGGGCCTCCGTGGGCACTGGCAGGTCACTGGGGGCTGGCTGTTGCAGTGGTGAGTTGTACATCTGCTTTGGGGACCTTGGCACTTCAGGGAAGGAGGTGCCTCGTTCAGAAAAGAAGGCAGGGGAACCATCTTCTGCAACTGGGGGCTCTTGGACTCGCCGCTGGTTCTCCAAGTTGAGTAGTAGCTCCTGGTCAGACATGTTGCTCCCCAGAGAGGCGCGGTCCTGGGACTCTATCAAGCTGGTCCTGGGACCTGGCTCTGCCCTGGAGTGCAAAGAACTGATATCCTTGCTCGGTTCTTCCTGCTTGTCACCTTTTCCTCGTCTCTCACCTGCATCTGGGTCCTTCCGAGACTTGGAATATCGAGACAAGTATTCCGAGTCAGCTTCAGGGTCCAGGGTCAGCCCATACTTTTCTGCCAGCTGTCGCCTCCTCTCTGCTTTGTACCTTGCGATCCTTTCTGCTTTGGACTCCAGACTGTGGGTATCCATGGAGCTTGAACTATGGATGCCCGAGGTTTCTGAACAGTACTTAGATGGAGTTTGTTTTTCTAAGGAAGACCCAGGAGTGTCTTCCTCTTCATTAGAGCGCCCTACAAGAAGACCGCAGGATAAAACATAGCAGGCTAAGCACAGTCCACCGTGTAACATGCAGAGCCCTCCACACTGCCCAGCGCTCACAGAGCTCCCAGTCTGAAGGTCTCATCTCACCTAGGCTGGCTGATGGAAGGAGCCTGGTATTTTCCAGGAAAAGTGGGAAAGCAGAGAGCCACATGGCATCTGATCCCCACACTCTCCCAGGGCCCTCTAGCCTCAAATTTATTTCCCCTTTATTTATTTTTATGTTTCGTTTCTGAGTTTAATACTTCATATGAGGCCAAAGGGCAAGTTCAGATTCTTCTAGAAAAGACAGTAGACACAAGAACATTTATTGAGTTAACAAGAGATGGGCTGTGGTTTCACAATATCAGAGTGGTATCTGCACTTAAAGATGTTGTTTTTCTCAGTGCCCACACACATGCAAACACATACACACACACACACACACATCAAAATGTTGAATTATTTATGAAAGAATTTGAGACCTTTCAGTCACTTGCTAGGCTGTGAAATCAATTTCTACGTTGCTCGAAGTAATACTGACTCATTCATCATTTGGAGATTTCTTTATCTGTTTTTTAAGTTCACTTGAATGAAACACGTGCCTATATTTTCAAGTTTCCAATGACTTCTTTTGAATTAGAACAAGATTAACCAGAATTTACTTTGGGGTTGGTATGAAATGGAAAGAGGAGTATGTCTTTTACTCTCCTCTTGGCTAGCTTGATTCCTAATACCTTAATAAATAATTCTTTCTTGGTTATGCATGCCTATAACACCAGCACATGGTTGAAATAGGATGACAGTGAGTTTAAGCCAGTGTAGGCTACACAACTTATGTCTAAAGACAAACCTTAATTCCCTCACTGTATTTGATGGTTAAATTAAATGCTATATGGGTGAAGACATTATGTACGCAAGGGTTTCTTTCTGGGTGTGGATTCTGGGTATAGATTCTTGGCTTTTCATGTAGTTCCCGATCAGAAGCCACCAATACCAGCAACCTGTGGCATTATGCTTTGAGACCAGGAGCCCCCTCTGAAGAGGAAATGGGAAAACAATAGCTAGGAAAAGCAGCACTTCAGAGCCTGGGTCCAGGCTGGGAAGCTCAGTCCTGATTGTATTGTTCCCTCTGGGGTCAGGCCAGGTGATTAACATCCATAACAGTGACTAAGTCCAGTCACGCTCAGCGTGTTGCAAATCAATATGCAATATATTTACACACATGAAAATAGAAGGCCTGTCTCACGAATCCTGAGAGTAGTAACAAGTATTTTACTAATAGTCCTTGACAGCAGATTCTGAGCTGAGACACGAGAGTATGGAGAAATGGCCACCGTGTGTGCCTCTGATGGGCCCCTATGTAAAGGGGCCTGGTAAACTTAAGAAACCACACAATGACTGCTGTTGGTTGTGATGCTTAACATGCATTGTCAACTAGACTAGATTTGGAGTATTTTTTTAGAGGTTTGACTGAGAAGGGAACATTTTCCCTGACGTGTGCGGGTGCGGTACCACTTCACTGAATTTAAAAAAAAAAAAAAAGGTGAAAAATAAACAAGTGAGGGGAGCAGCTGACTGTGGGTGAATGTGACCAGTTGCTTCTGACTCCCCTTGCCACGCCTTCCCTGTCATGATGGACTGTCACCTCAAACTGAGTCAAAGTCAGCTTTTCCTCCCTTTAGCTGCTTTGGTTGGCCTCTTTATTTTGGTGTCAGGCATTTCATTCTCCAGTGCCACAGGATCAGGCAGGTGAAGGTGTGACATGACAAGCACCCCATCTAGCATGTTCACATACTCACCAGTGTGAGGGCTGGCAGGGTCTGTGGCGCGCATGTATCTGGGTGTGTCTTCCTCCAGCAGTCGGTGAGTCACTAGCCCTGTGCAGCTCTGCAACAGGATGGGCTGGGGGTCATTTTCTATTCCTTCTAAGCGCCTGGCAATTCTTTCTTTTCTGCAAAGTCGGCCAAAGAAAAACACAGTGAGTGTGGAAAATGATACTAAGGGACAAATTAATCACTGCTGTGATAAATGTCTTTACCCACCAGTGGAGTGACACAAGTATTACCTTTTCATCTCTAAAAAGTCTTTTCTCTTTGGCTCGAAGATTTTTCTTAATTCCGCAACTACAACAGAGCAGAAAAGAACAAAAAACGGTGTGGCGTTTGGTGGTTTTGTGCTTGTTTCATTCACTGATGCAGCACATTAGAGAAGACTCAAATGCACACAACCCTGCCAGCTTCCGGCTCCCTTGAAGTTAGTTTTCAGGTAGGAAGGGAGACACTAAATAAGTAAGTGTGTGCACACCGCCCCCTGCACACGCATCACAATTTAGGCTAACAAGTAAACTTATGCAGGCTAAGACTGGGTCACAGGAGGCTTAACCGACAAGGCCTCTTTAGTAAGGTTGTTTTTTGTTTGTTTGTTTTGCTTATCAGGGCTCCCAGTGTCCATCTTATCTTAAATTTTGTTATGTTTATTGATGCATCTGAAGCTTTTATCTTGAAAAACTTTTGCAAAGTACATTCCATCAGCCCCCGTAGTGTCATCTGCAAGCTCCTAGCATGCATACACAGCCACTCTTACTTCACCCTGTCATTTAATCTGTAAGCATCTGTCAGTACATGACTATGCTTCCTTTAACCACAGCTGAAATCAGGTCCCAAGACTCTGCTAGAGCTTTGCTGGAAGGAAGTGGTAACATTTGCTTCCACCCTATAATCTAGGAGGATGGTGTGATTCTCCTAGACTCACTGGGAAGCCAGGAAAAATGCTTTGCTGTGGCTGAAGGTTCTAGCAGGACATTAACTACAGGGCAGACCGAGATGACAAGCAATTGCTTCTTTGGAGAGGTGGCCAAAGTTGGCAGAGAACGGCTCTTAATCTGTCTCTATCTTCACTATATCAATTCTTAAGAGGGCTTAAAGGCAAGGAGTTAGCAGAAAAAAGAGGGAAGGGCCAACGGACCACCAGGACAGAAGGAGAATCTATCAGGACTTGGGGAGGAGCTAGCAGGAAAGGCTGACTCATAGGAGAAATGCAATGAAGGGGCAATTAAGACATGGTATCTAATTAATTAGTAACTATTGTTGAAGTCGGGTATGTACTTTTTAATGACTATCTGTCTTAAAACTTTTGCTGTGGGGGTAGAGGTATGGCTCAGCTGTTAAGAGACCTAAGTTCTATTCCCAGCACCCACATGGAGGCTCACAACCATCTGTAACTCCAGTTTCTGCAGTAAATGATGCCTTCTTCTGACCTTTGCAAGCATAAGGCACACATGTGGTGCACATACGTACATAAAGAAAAAACACTCAAGGTACACATGAAAAAAAACTAGACACACATATGATGTACATACATATATGCAGGAAAAAAACTAACATTAATCCTAACCCTAACCCTTTAAACTCTTATATTTTTGGTTGTGAACCTAGCCTTTAATGGCTGAGCCATCTCTCCAGCACTCTTTAAACTCTTTCAACAATTTTCATGTGATTTCAGACTTAGAAGCTCTGCAAAGCACCATTTGTGATATGCTAACATTTTACTATGTTGTTTTACTTCTTTTTCCCTTTCCGTGGATACTTTCATTATACTCTCAAGCCACTTAAGAGCAAGCTGCAGTCTATCTCTTTATCCTAAGATCCTCCAATATGAATTCCCTATAATAATGTTTCCTAAAGTTAGAGTCAATTGACTGAATGTTGTGCCCTAACTGAAATTCCTAAATGGCACAGGTTCCATATACTAGTCAACACAGTCCAGCTATTAGCAACCATAGGCGGTCTAATTTCCATAGAAGGAAAATTTTTATCTATATGTTTACAAATGCATTGATTTTGATTAAACAAAATTATCCATTTTACAGCTACTGTCATGGGCTCTTTTGAGTAATTCTGAATGGTCCTTCTGCATCCATGAGTCTTTTGCCATTTCTAATAAGAGTTCATGGGTCAATTTTCACTTATGGCCTTTAAGGGAACTGGAGAGAGGGTTCTCCCATTCATGTGCCTATTTGCCAGACATTCTTTGTAAGAAGAATATGACCACCAGTATTCAGGATAATTTGGCCTTCCAAGGGTTTGTCTTGGGAAATAGAATTAGTTCTTCACCCACTCTGAGAGACTAGAGATTTTTGGTAAAGACAGCGCTTAACTTAGTTTGTCTCAAACTCAAGTATGGCAGGAGCTTGGATAGAAAAGTCAGTGGTAGTGTACTGCCAAGACCTGCTTCCTCCCTGTCCTGGGATAGCCTGAGAGCATAGTCCTGACTGGGGTGATTTAAACACTGCTGTGACTGCATACGAGGGTGCCAATAGAAGGAAGGAAGTAACCACCAAACGAGAGGACTCAGGGAAGGGTGATGGTTCAAGGGTATGAGGTTTCTTCTGGAATAGTGAAGACGCTGTAATATTGATTACAGTGATGGGCACACAATTGTGTGAAAGTGTCAGGAGCCAATGACACATGCTGTTTACATGGATAAACTGTGTGCTGGCTGCATGCTCTATATTTTAATGATAATGTTAGAGACATGATGTTCCTCTACTTCTTAATTTTAAAATGGAATGTCTACTTAATATTATGTTTACATAGGCCAAGACTTATTTTTATCTAAGTATACATTTATCATGTGTGTTTGTCTGTGTGTTTGTAGGTTCACATGTGCCATGGTTTCTGTGTATGGGGCCAGAGGACAGCTTTGGGGGCCAGTTCTCTCCTTCTCCAGATTTGGTGGCAGGAGTTGAAGTATCTCAGTGGCCTTTCTGTTCCCTTCATCAACAAGAATGTTGATGATATGATGAGTCCAAGAGAGAAAAGAGACAGCCATCTTAATGTTCCCTTTTACAGAAGCAGAAACCTTTCATTAAGTGAACAAAGTGGCATCCTCAAACTTAAAAACACACATAACATTCTATGTTGTTGAAATAAAATAGTGCTGGAATACAGCTAGTGCAGTGCTTGTCTGAAAGCCCAAGTACAAGACAATGAACAAACAACACAAAAACAAGGCCCAGATTAGTAATCTATTCCTTTGTCAGCATTATACTGCTAAGAGCCAACAGGCAGAATATTGACAGATCCTGCTGAGAATGGCAGTGTTTTCTAATACACCGTCCCCAAATCAAGGACATCAGAATGAAGGCATGAAGAAGCCTGGGGTCTGGGTATGACCGAGGTGGGGCTTGGGAATTTTTTTTGAGGTGCTGTAGAGTGTTGGGGGATATTTTGATTGCACTGTGACACTTGGAGATTATTAAATAAATAACAGTTAAATAAAGTTTACCTTGAATCAGAGGGAGGGGACAGAGCCAGCAACTAGTTGAGGGCATCAATTTGGATAGAGAAGACACATAGGCAGGGACTAGAGCTTGAGCTGACATTTGGTTTGGGGACAAGGGAAGAGACTCATCTCTTATGGTGTCTCCAGCCAAAAAAAGTTAGCTAGTTGCTAGTGAACCTCTCGGAGCTAGCAGGTTTTCATCCTTCAGCCTTTGACTCCTGAGTCTAAAACCCAGCTTTTGATTCCTGAGTCTTACTGATAAATAGAATGATAGAGATTTAGTTTAAACCTATGTACTGTGCCTGCAGCAAAGCCAGGGAGCAGGACTAGAAGCCCCACCAGGTTACAGCCTGAGTAGCTGGTGAGATGCTGACTACAGGGCCATAGGGCCACAGACAATAATAAAATCTCAGTAGATTAATATGCAGCCACTAAGCTGACAGCAAGACATCAGTAGAAGACAAAAACCTTATGAGTTTAGGAACACGAATTTACTTAGTACATATGGTTAAACACTTGGGTTTGGAAAAGCTACTTATTTTCATAATCAGCTGTATGAAATTTTGGAAAGAACTGGTCAATAACCTTTTATGTTTTCAATATGTTTTGATAGTTGAAATTACAGGTTTTAGGAACCGACAACTCTCCCTGTCTCCTGACCATACCGTTGCCCAGAGGAATTGGGGCAGAGAAGTCGGAAGAGGGAGGCTTCCACTGGCAAGGAATGACCTGTGTTTTCCAAGTAGATCTGTGCCTTATCAGGCAACATTTGTCAGTTACAGCAGAACCAAACTTTTCACTTTTACACTTAGTTTTGATCATAATCCTAGACGTTAAACACACCTTTATCTCAGATGAAACTGGGCACCTTTGTCCTTTACAAAGACCCTGAACAGCTTGAAGGAGTATTTCATCCCATGCCAGAGCATATAGCCACCCAGGGATAAATCCTTTACAGCATAACCCTGCCATGAACACATGGAGCCATTTGCCTTCCTGAACAATCAAGGAGAATGTGAGTTTGCGCTTCCCGAGGAAGCAGTACCGCGATAGCCAGCCGGGTTTTCCACAGTGTCAGGCTCTTGTTCTCAAACTATGGGCACAGCCTCCAGTCTTTCGGAGTTAGGCTCCACATTCACGTAACTCTCAGTGTGGCATACTGGTCATCTTTTGCTGTGATCATACGTATACACACACACAGAAAAGAAAGTGGCAGGCTGAGTGTCAGCACTGACCCAGTTTCAGATGCCTACTGGAAATCTTGGGGCACATTTCCCCCAGATGGGGGCAATGGTGCTACAATTCTAGCCACTCTTCATATGAAATCTTATCTATAGCCTCGTAACTCTCCATACTATTCCTTCGGTGCAATACACAATAAAATATGCATTTCACCTGATACGGAAAAACTGAATCATGCTTTGTTAAGTTCTGCTCTTAGGCCATGCCTTGGAACTTTTTCAAGTGCCCATCCTTAGAAGACTCTGAGGCATATCATCTGCTTAGCATCTTGGGATACATTCCAGGTCGTCCCTGTGCCTTTGAAACTGGATTTGCTTTCTATTAAAAGAAAATGTCTTCTGATCTAATTTCTCTTAAACCCCTTTCCCCTTTCAGAGCATGGCAGGGGAGGGGACCACAAAAAAAACAAAAAAACAAAACAAACAAACAAACAAAAAAAACAAAAACAAAACAAAACAAAACCAAAAAACCAAAAAACCTGTTCTTCCCTTAACTCGATCATTCTAAAGGGTTCCATTGCTCTGTTTGGATACAGATATTTTGGATCCAAGTGATCATTCCTCATGCTACAGTTATTGTTGGGAAGTAATGAACAGGCCATGTTCAAGTCCTGTCAGAGGCAAAAGCAGAGTGGGCCAGTTTAGAGCAGGTGCAGGTAGCTTACTTAACACATGTGTACCTGTTACCAGTGGAAAGCATAACACAAAACAGACGACCGTTGAGGCCACTCGGATGGCCCAGTGGTCAGAGCTCAATCCTCAGGACCCACATGCAGGAAGAACTAAGTTCACCTCCATAGGGTTGTCCCTTTATTTCCAAATGCATTATCTGGAACACACACACTGATACACACACAAATGAATAAGTGTAATAAGATACTTAAAACTTCAAAAGATGTCTGAAAGTATCCAGCAGTTAGCTCTGTTGCCTACAAGAAAGCCAGACCACTGATAACTTTAGTCCTAGTACTTGGGAGGCAAAGATAGGTGGAACCCTATGAGTTCAAGGACAGCCAGGCTATATAGTGAGATCCTAGTTCAGAAAAATAAATAAATAAAAGGCTACAAGCTTCTGAGCATAAATCCCATATAGTGGGAAGAAGCAGGGAGGAAAAGTGAACAGCACTGGGGGGGGGAATGGGGGGTATATAGAGAAGGATGGGAACCTAGGAGACCAGCTGACCAAATGCCTTTTAGAGAAAGTTAGCTTGATTTTTTTAAATTCAATTTTATATTTTTAATTAACATTTTTCATATATTTTGATCATTTTCCTTCTGCCAACTCTTCCCAGATTCCCCCCCACTTCCCTACCCACCCAACTTTCTCTCTCTCTTTTTCTAAAAGCATATGAATATTTTGCCAGCATGTATGTTTGTGCACCATGATGATGCCTGGTGCCTACATAGGTCAGAAGAGGGTACTAGATCCCCAGGACCTGGAGCTACATACAGTTGTGAGCCAACACAAGGGTGCTGGGAAGCAAACCCAAGTCCTCTGCCAGAACAAGCGCTCTCAACCACTGCTGAGTCATGTCTCCAGCTCCCTAACAATCTTTCCCCTGGAGACAGAGTTGTACTTGTTGCCCAGGTGCCACCCAACCTGGATTATGTGGTGCTGGGGATCAAAGCCAGGTTTCCTGCATGCTAGGCAAATACTCTACCAACTGAACTACATTCCAAGCCCCCTCAGGAAGGCTAAAGGCCAAAGAGAGAATGGGGTCTCTGTGCTCTTTCTCCTCCTCTTCATTCTGCCTTCAGCAGCAACTGGTGGGAAGAATAAACCCCAGGAAGATGGGGGTGCAAAATTCAGGAAAGGAGTAAGCTAATGAGAATCCTTCAGTGCAAGTGTCATGGAGAGTTGTGCCATTTAGAGAAGGTCTTACCTTTAGGGAGTGCAGCTAGACACTTGGCATCAAGGCCTCTCCTGTGGTTGGCAGGCTCTTCTTTATCATCAAAGCAAAGCTCTTTCTGAAAGCTAAAAGTTATTCCATTAATACAGCATTAAATCAAGATGCAAAATAGGAAAAACACTAATGATAAAAACCATGCTGTCATTCAAACATAAGTACACATTTTATACTGGTGAATTTCTCCATTTATTTATATTTACGTTAATATGATAATGTGTGTATATATGTTCAACTATGTGATTACACTGGTATTCGTGGCTGCTAGGTGTGTGTGGTGGAAAAAAATATAGCCAGACCTGTGCATTGTATCTTTCTATTCAGACTGGTAACACCCTTTTGATCCCAGAACAACTGAGTATGTTAGGTTTACACACCCAACCTTCTTGGGCTACAACCTCTGCCTCAGAAGGCCAGTATCTTACGGAGGAAGTCTGGATGCTTTTTCCAGTGATAAATTATAGTAATATGACATGTGCTTTCAAACTACTTAATAGCAGCATGGGCAAAAGGGAGAAAAGGCCTGTGAAAACTTGTAAGTGAAAGGGGAGACTAGTAAAGGAATGGAGTGTGTCCTATCTCTTCCCTGTATACTAACCCTAACTCCAGCTACAATCCCCACAACTCCACAAGACTCCAGGTCTGCACAACTTGGAAGAGTCTAAATGCCTGATCAATGCCCACCTGCTTTGTATTTGTTGCTGCAGTTTGAATATTTCTACCAGGGATGGTTTCTTGCTAATTACCATAAGGTAAATTAGAAGACAAGGAAGGCAAAACCCTGCTGCCTCATAATTTAGTATTTTTTTTTTCTTTTTGCTGTATTTCTTGTATGCTACAGACCCTTCAGCCACTGGCACATTTTACATTTGGTGTCCTGCCAGGAAGGCTACTGTAGTCAGTTTACATGGAATGATAGCAATGGCTTATTTAACTCCAATGTCCCATTGAGTCAAGGTCACCAAAGTGTTTGACTTCCAATTTATACTTTTCTTACCCTTGGATAAAAAGTGCCTCCTTCCTCTCTCCTTATCTTTATTTTTCTTATTTATTACCTTTATTACAGTTAAGATAACCTGCGAGGGGAAGGTTAGGGAATGAGCCCAAGGTGCCATTAAACCATGCCATAGACACGAACCACGGGCAACTCAAACAATACATTTGAGTATTACTACACTTGTTAACTGTTATCCTGAGTCATGGTTCTAATTCACTTTATACTTAGATGACCAGAGATTTTCCTGTATAGTGTGTTTATAAGATCCACTCTGCAATTTTGAATGCAGATTCAAGTTCTTTGGAGCAAAGTGTCAGAGCCACGATAGATTAGGGACAAGAGCATCTGAGGGGAAGTTGGGCTGGCATGGGGGTTGGCTCCTCCTAGCACAATGATGTACAGGTTTCGACCCAAGCCTGAGTGCATGAGGGATGGCTGTGCACCTGTGCTTAGTATTGTCTGACTGTGTGTGGACAGTGGCCTACACGGAAGGACCCAATGCAGCTACCTTGTGTGGCACACTCCATCACGGTTGCACTATCTTACATCAGCAATGTGCTACAGGGTCTGAGCACAGCAGGTAAATCAGATGGGCACCCATAAGGCTCCAAGGACAAGGAAATTGTCACCAAGAACTCACAAGGACAGGTGGGTGGATGCAGAGATGGAAGTGAGAAAAATGACAGGAGGAATAAGGCTAAGCTTTTTCTTAAAAAGCCAAAAGCTCCCTGATAAACAGATTCAAAAGCTTAGAGGTAAATGAGAGGAAAAGAAAGCAACTCCCAGGAACAGCGTGGTGTAGAGAGGAGTCACTATTGCCTGGGAATACTGTTCAGTAAGCTTGCTTTATACAGAAAGACACACAGACAGATGCATGCACATACACCTTTTGGAAATGAACCTGGTACTTTGCACAAGCTAGGTAGAAGCTGTACCACTGAGTCATGCCACCAGCTCTTGCTATAACTAAATAACATCCTGGGCAAAAACATACTGCCAAGCAAACTCGTGGGTTAGAAATGTAAGAGCCCAGGGGCTGCCGTGCATGAAGTTCACTGGGAAGCGTTTGCCTAGCATGTGTGAGGGCCTGGGTTCTTTCTATTCCCAGGTCTTCAGAAGGAAACAAGGAGGGATCTAAGGGATTATCTTAAAAGCCACCATGTATCTCCAAAGCATAAGAGTTCTTGAACGCAGGCCACATTACCTTTCAGCTTTTCTTTGATGTGGGAATCCAATGAAGCCTAAGTTTTTCTTGTTGAAATCTAAGGGAAAAGAAATAACACAAAGTGAATATAGTTACAGTCACTTAAGAACATTCAGACTGGAAGATGCCCTTAAATTCCCCTTGAATTTGTAATTTAATTAAAAAGGACATTATTAACAAAATAACAAAACTGATGTCTTCTGAGAGTCAAACTCAACAAAACCCTGGTTTGCTTCCTTCCCTTCTGAAGAAGCCTCTGTATAGCTCACAGGTTAAACAAATATTATGACATCCTTTAAAGCCATCTCAACTTATTACAGAAAAAAAAAAAACCGTGAAACAGTTAAATATCAAGTAACAGTTATATACTGAGGAGGGGGAAAGAGAAATAATTAAGTGATTTGGGTCAAGATAACCAGAGATAATGAGGTAACGTGCCAGGGAGATTGGAGATCCCATTAGAGCTGGTGGAGAGGTGAAAGGGATGTTCAAGAGGAATGGATACTTTTGCTGCTTTTGTTAAGATCTAGACAACACTGTGCATGGTGTGCAGGTATGTGTGTGGATACATGTGCATGTATGTGTGTGGGTACCTGTGTGGGTACGTGTGTGGGTACATGTGCGGGTATGTATGTGTGCGGGCACGTGTGTACATGTGTGTGTCTCTCTCTCTCTGTGTGTGTGTGTGTGTGTTGGAGGACAACCTACAGGAATCACTTCTTTCTTTCTACCATGTTCATCCTCAGAATCAAACTCAAGTCATCGAACTTGGCCACAAGTGCTGCCTGCTAAGCAATCCCACTGGACAGACTCATTTATTTTTGAAGATAGGATATATGATGTAAAGACAGCTGGTAACAATTCCATACAGGAAAATCACACATCCAGGGTGAACGTGTTAATGAAAACCAGGCGGAGACAGGATTTATGATGGTCTCACAGCCAGCAACCCGGTTTACAGCTTCAGGCACAGTGACCAAACACAAACAGACCCGGAACAGAAACTCCTTCCCCCAAGGAAGTACTTTTATGGTTTACTATTTAGAATCAGAACCCAAGGGGCAGGGTAAAGGTATAAGACATAGCAGATGCCAACACTTCTTTATCCATCAAAACACATCTCAAGTCCTTGAAACTGGAAATTAGGGCCAACAGGGAGGCACAGTGAAATGAAGAGTAAAAAGCCATTTACACATCCAGGTTTTATTCCAAGCACACACATGCATCCTGTCATAACTATCTGAAGAAAGAGAACTCTGATTTAAAGAAAAGCTAACAAATGTTTTAAAAGAAGTTTCTGAATGGTTCTAGTCTAGTCCCAGCAGAGCACTTGTGCTATGAAATATTCTGGGAAGATAATGGCTGGGTTTCAAATCGGCATTTAAATACCCACAGCGCCTCACTTTTGTCCCAGCTCCACGTATGTAACAACACTTCAGCAATAAGACGAGAAGCACTTCTTTCTCTGGGCTAGAAAAGAAGTCACTGGAAAGACAGTATTTTCTCAAAACTGTCTCACATGAAGAATTAAAAAAGAGAGACTTGCCCACCATTGCCTGCTGGAAAGAAGCTTGCACGTAAGACATGTGGTTTCAGAGGATATTTTAGGTACAGTGCAGCATATCCAGAATTTGATCCAAAGCTTTGAATTTAATTAGCAATGTTGCTATATAAAAGCTTTTGCGGTTTAGCAATAGAAAGAGAAAAGACATTTCCAGCAATTACAAGCGTAGTTAGGGACTCAATAGTTAAAGCATCCTTCCCAATAGTCAGCTGGATGACTAGCAGGATGCTGGAGAATACGGAAGTTCACACAAAGACATTAGAAAATAAACACAGAAATGCATTTTCCATATTTCCCATCTTACCTTGTTTCTCGGAAAATCTGAAGGCTCCCAGGTAGCTAGAAAGCGCTGGGTTTCTGAACATGATTGCACACAGAACACTGGGGCACCGCCAGCCTGATTTGACAGCTAATTCCTAACCAGCAATGCCCTTGGGCCGGTCTAAGCAAAATTGGGTTGCAAATTTCCAGAGTGCAGGGCTAGAGTGAGCAACCAGGCACGTGTGCCTTGGAGCTTACAGTGAACACAGAGCAAAAGGCTGCAACAAATCAAACCCCTTCTTCAGATTACAAGCAGAAATTAGAGCTGGAGATGCTGCTGCAGACAGGGTTCCAGAGAGAGGGCATTTTGGAGTATGTCACAGCAAGGCCTTGGGGAATCATAGAGAATGCTTTGCCCAAGAAGACAAGGCTGAGACTAACTATCCTGTCAGCACTGAAAAGAACTCCCCCGCTTTCCCTAGAACCAAATCGCCCCAAGGAAGAAAACCCCACACAGGGACTCAATGTGTTGGGGTGCGGTGAGGTGCCTAAGTGTTCCCAGGCTGCCCCAAGCTTGGCTTTGGTTGAGCTCAATAAAATATTTCACTTAACCAGGAGCCAAAAACTCATACTTAAGAGTTAAGATTTATAAGCAACATATGAGCAAAACTGTGGAAATAGAAAAGGCAGATATTACCAGGAGAGTCAACCATTTTAATTTGAGACAGAAGCTGTTAAGCTTTAGCTATAAGGCTGCTGCCTGCTTGTTCCAACTGCAGTCTGTCACTGGAGGGCTCAAATCCGGAAAACGAATTTGGAAGAACAATTGACAATAATTAGAGATGGATTGTTTCCTCCCTACAGAGGGACAATAAAGAAACCCACAGGAAACAGACTCCATTACAGACAGTGTAAGGAAACAAGGCTAAGAAGGTAACTTGATTCCAGGAGACAATTGGTAGGTACAGAGCCATGGGATCAACTGGGAGGTGGGTCAAGATCATTATTTGCCCAAACTCTATGCAGTGGCAGGGACTCAGAGCTTGTCTGCCTTTGTATCTTTGGTCCTGAACATTTATTTGTATCTAACTGGCATATAGTAGTCTGCAGTAAATGTTCGCAGAATGACAATATGAAGTAATGGAAGAGTCTTTTCTTAAAGCCATGAAGATACTTTGGACTTTAGGGCCTAGCATCAAAATGGATCAGCTTAAATGAAGAAGCAATGGGTGGACGGATGAATGGACAGATGAGTGTGTTACTCTTTGAAACTAAAAGATACTCTACACTTTCAGATATAGGAACACTTGGTTGTTAACTTGCTGGAACTACTGCTAAAACTATGTGGGGAGGCTATGGAATATTTGAGTGGGGAGCAGGGCTGGCAGAGCTGGGTCCCTGTCCAAGCTCTCTGCAATGTATCCCACCGAGATGAACCATGCGCTCTTAAGCCCAGAGCCGATTTAAATCCTTGTCCTTGTTGTTTCTGTCAGGTGTCTTACCATAGTGCCAAGAGGGACTAAGCCAGTGTAAGACTGTAGGACAGTGGCAGTCAGGGGCCTTTTGGTGTTCACATTCTCAGTTACCTCTTTTAGCCCAGGAAGAATATGGTAGATACAGTTGTTAAAAATTAAACAAACCATGGAGGAACAATAGGTACTGTGGATAGAGTTCACTATGGGGGAAACTGCTGAACACTCATCTTCTGGGCAGGGGATGGATGTCACACGAACTCTGTAGAGTGTGGGAAATGATGCCTGGGAACAAAGACAGAAGAAGGGGATTGGAAGAATTTCCAGAATTGTTGGCCTGGGCTAATAGCTTCGACGCAGGACACAAAACAGACATCACAGAAGAAAGAAAAAAGTTCTTTATGAAACAATGGGTATAAAATTTAATCTACTCCTAAACGATCTATCTGCAGGGAGTCAAGTGAGATCAAAGAAACCTATATTTCATGTCACTAGAAAGTACCCATGAGGGACTGGAGAGATGGTTCATTGGGTAAGAATATTTGCTGTGATATATGATAAAGGGCAGAGGGGTTAGCTTCAAGGGACAGCACAATATAGATCACTGCTGGAGCTCAGACTCCAGGGGTCCTTGCGATACAAGAGACAGCTGTCCTTGCAGAGGTCCCTCTTGTAAAGGAGCCTATGGAAACAAGGGCAACCAGGAAGGAAACCACCAGCGACCTGACTGGTAAACAGACATCCCGTTTGCAATAATAGTAAGGCCTGCAGCCTTCGTGTTCTCACCTCCACGCTTACTGCCTGCTGGTGCTGGAGCCACTGTGTGCTCCCAGCCTGCCAGGGAGAGGCTGCTGTGACTCCCTTGCAGATGAGAAAGCTGAGGCGGGCATTTCCTGGGCAGATATAAAGTCTGCTCAGCACAGCTAGTGAGGGCATGGGCAGATCAAAGAGATTTCCTCCAAGTCCGCCTGGGTGCACAGATCAGTGAGTTAACTGGGGTCCTGTACGGGGAGCACGAGTGACGCATGGGACACGGGACATGGGTGACACCCAGGTAGCTACAGTACTTCGAAGCTCCCTGGACAATTCAAGGGGTATCGACCAAAGAATCTCCCGGTTAATGGTTCACCTGTCACATGGCCCAGAGAGGGGCCGTGTGAGGGTCTTTGTAAGGAAATGTGTACCCACATGGTCTCTGAAAAATCTCCTGTTGGGGAATCATAGCTGCTCCGATTCAAGATGGCAGTGGTCATGTCCAAACCAGAGGAAATAAGAGCATAACAGATATAGTGTGCTCCTTCAATTTTATCTTCTTCAGTTCATCCCACCCTGTCTTCTTTCCTCCCTTCCTCCCCTCTGAGCCAGCATCCCACACAAGGATGTCTCGTCTATGCAATGCTGGGGGTTGACCCCAGGGCTTCATGCATGCTAGACAATTGTACTGCCAACTGAGATACATCCCTGGTTCAGTCAATTATATTTCTAAAGGCAAAACAGCATTCTCTGGCTGGCCTGAAGAAAGCAAGAGAGGGAAAGGACAGTGAGGTCAGGGTTAGGTGAGAATATATGTGGCCTCACTCTCAATTGCAAGTGCATCACTGACCCCTACGTGGTAATGATATATATTGTGGACAGTTGGTGCACATTTGCTTCTGTGACAGCCTTGTGATGCCACACTGTACCTCCCAATGAAGGCAAAAACACTCCCACCTTGGAAAACTGAGCTGAATGGCATGGAACAACTATCCAGATATACACTAT